TGGGTACGGGTAGGCCGTGAGTCACTGGTGAGTAACCGTTTGTCACTCATTTCCCAACGTCTTGTCTCTTCTCACAATTCAAGTTCCTAGAATCAACCCACCCGCGCCTGCAACATGGCTTCATCCCAGAGGTCGCAATCGGGTACCCGTACCCAATACCCGCTGGGTACGGGTAGCCGGGTATCGGGTAGGGTACGGGTACGGGTACCCGTTTGCGACCCTGGTGCGGCTGGGTACGGGTAAAGAATAAAAACCCCTCTTCTTGGTTCTTTCGGTAAAGTCACATAGAAGGGAAATAAAATAATAAAAATAAACATAATAAAATACAATTCTCACGACGTTTCGGCCACAACGCAAGCAGCCGTCCTCAGGTGAAGAACAGGTCTGTCAGAAAGACAGCGTCCGAATGGACATAATAAGACAGTGTTTGAATGGATGCTGTCTTTCCGACAGACCTGTTCTTCACCTGAGGACGGCTGCTTGCGTTGTGGCCGAAACGTCGTGAGAATTGTATTTTATTATGTTTTATTTTTATTATTTTATTATTTCCCTTCTACGCGACTTTACCGAAAGAACCAAGAAGATGAATCCCTGTGGTCACGAAAGCTTTAAATCGGAATCAAAACCCGTTTGCGACCTCTACATGCGTGGCGGCCATCACAGGTGCTCGCCGCTAACACTTTCCCCGTACGTTGTGTGTTAAAGGCTGCACGGGGGGCGGCGGGGGGTGCTTTGTCTTTGTGTGCGGCGAGGCAGATGGGCGTGATGTACTGCAGGGCTCGCGGCGAGCTCACCGTGCAGCCCATCGCGTGGACGCGCTGGCACAACGTGACGCTGTGGCTCGTGCAGCCGGACGAGGTCATCAGACAGGTCACTCGCCAGATCGAGCAGAAGTCATCACGGAGGTCATAAGGGGTCAATCACAGGTCACAGCGGTCATCACAGGTCATCACAGGTCATCACAGGTCACAGCGGTCATCACAGGTCATCACAGGTCACAGTGGGTCATCACAAGTCACAGCGGTCATCACAGGTCACAGCGGGTCATCACAGGTCATCACAGGTCACAGTGGTCATCACAAGTCACAGCGGTCATCACAGGTCACAGCGGTCATCACAGGTCATCACAGAGGTCGTAAAAGGTCATCACAGGTCATCACAGGTCACAGCGGTCATCACAGGTCACAGCGGTCATCACAGGTCATCACAGAGGTCGTAAGAGGTCATCACAGCGATCATCTGAATCAGAATCTTTACTTTTACTGGATAAAATCCGATGAGCTTTTAATCGCTTTTTCACGGATGTGCACATCTGTCCAGATCATCACAGATCATCACAGATCACAGATCATTATCACAGATCATCACAGATCATCACAGATCATCATTGCAGTAATCACAGATCATCACAGATCATCATTGCAGTAATCACAGATCATCACAGGTCATCATTGCAGTAATCACAGATCATCACAGATCATCACAGATCATCATCACAGGTCATCATTGCAGTTATCACAGATCATCACAGATCATCATCGCAGTCATCACAGAGGTTATCACAGAGGTCATCACCGAGGTAATCGGAGGTCATTACAGAGGTCATGCGTGGTGGGTTTTCTCGGGGCACTCCGGGTTGCTTCCACGTGCACACACACATTCATTGGCCGATAGCACCTTGATATAGAGAGGATCGCAGAGCTTGGGCAGTGGTTGGCCCCGGCTCCCTCCGCCCCCCCCCCTCTGTCTCGTCGAGAGTGAGCAAGCACCGTGTCAGCGCGGCGTTAAGAGTTGATATCATTCTTCGATTTAAAGCTTTCGTGACTGCAGGGATTCATCTTCTTGGTTCTTTCGGTAAAGTCACGTAGAAGGGAAATAATAAAATAACAACAACAAAAAATATTATGTTTTATTTTATTACTTTATTATTTCCCTTCTACGTGACTTTACCGAAAGAACCAGAAGATGAATCCCTGCAGTCACAAAAGCTTTAAAAGAATTTTATTATGTTTTATTTTTATTATTTTATTATTTCCCTTCTACGTGACTTTACCGAAAGAACCAAGAAGATGATATCATTCCTTGTTATTACTACGACTACCACGTGTCACGTCCCATGTCCCACGCATGATGTTGTGGTGACTTCCATGTCCCCTATGGACCCATGTCCCACGCATCTCGCCCCATGTGTGCTGTGTCCCATGTCCCACGCGTGATATCCCTTGTGTGGACTTTCACGTCCCGTATGTCCCGTGGCCCACGTAATACGCATCATGCCGAGGGTCGCAACCGGGTACCGATACCCGTACCCTACCCGATACCGGCTACCCGTACCGTACCCGGCCGGGTACGGCTACCCGTTTGCGACCCTGGTGGCGGCTGGGTACGGGTAGGCTGTGAGTCACTGGTGAGTCACCGTTGTCACTCATTTCCCACGGCTTGTCTCTTCTCACAATTCAAGTTCCTAGAATCAACCCACCCGCGCCTGCAACATGGCTTCATCCCAGAAGTCGCAATTGGGTACCCGTACCCTACACCGATACCGGCCGGGTAGCCGGGTATCGGGTAGGGTACGGGTACCCGTTTGTGACCCTGGTGCGGCCGGGTACGGGTAAGGAATCAAAACCCGTTGTGACCTCTGGCATCATATCCCACGGTCGCATTTCCCATGTTCCGTGTCCCATGGCCATGTGCATCACGTCCCACGTGTCCCGTCTGTCCCATGACCCTTGACCCTTGCATCACGTCCCGTGACCCGCACGTCTGATTCCGTGACCCACACGTCTGATCCCGTGACCCACACGTCTGATTCCGTGACCCACACGTCTGATCCCGTGACCCACACGTCTGATTCCGTGACCCGTGTCACTCCGTGTCTAACATCCCCCCTCTCTTCCGTGCCTCCCACCGCCAGTTCCTGTCCACGTCGCCGCTGGTGGAGCCCCCGGACTTTGCGGCGAACATGCGTCAGCTGATGCGCTTCATGCTGCTGCACCCCGAGCCAGCGACGCGATCTTCCCGGGGGGCGCCGCTCGCAGATACCGCCGGGACCCCACGGATCCTGGCAGAGGGTCCCCTGAGGGGGGGGGGGCACCCCCGGTGGCTTCGCCCGGGTCCGGCACTCTTGACGCAGCCGCTTCAACTCCTGCCCCAGTGCAGCTGCACCGCCTGCACACTCGATAGCTTCCCTTCTTCTTCTTCTTGGTTCTTTCGGTCAAGTCACGTAGAAGGGAAATAGTAAAATAATAAAAATAAAACATAATAATTCTCACGACGTTTCGGCCACCAACGCAAGCAGCCGTCCTCAGGTGAAGACCAGGTGAAGACCAGGTCTGTCGAGAAGGACAGAGTCTGAATGACACACCCCAGGCTTGGAGCGTCTATTTAAGCTGGGATGGAGGGGGAAGAGAGCCTTGACAAAATAATTTGCATATCAAGAGGAATTTAGCATATTTATGGGAAATGCAGATATGCGATTAGTACTACTTGTGAAATGCATTATGCAGGATTAGCATTATTATTGTATTATTTGCATTCTACGTGACTTTACCGAAAGAACCAAGAAGAAGCTTCCGTTCTATTCGCGCGCACGACGACGGCGGGGGCAGCAGCAGCTCTGTGGTTCAGGATCTCGATGGCAATGTGGAGGTCTCCTGCTGCTGCTGCTGCTGCTGCTGCTCGCCACGACGAGAGAGGCAGGGTTGCGATTTCCGCATGGAAAATGCGGAAGGAGGGTTCAAATTTTCCCGCATTTTTGCTAAAGTCAACCGCAAACGGTGGAAAGACTACTCCTATGACCGCGCGCTTTTAACAACACGTTAATGCGTTCTATTGGAAAGGATACATCATGTACATGTGCTCGTAATCACGGCTCCGCATTTGAATAAAGTATGTGGTTCTTGTGCGGAAATGCGGAAATCATATATTCATTCCAATCAGTAACTCAAAGCCCTACGTGATGCTGGGCCTTGCATGTATCCTTTCCAATAGAACGCATTAACGTGTTGTTAAAAGCGCGCGGTCATAGGAGTAGTCTTTCCACCGTTTGCGGTTGACTTTAGCAAAAATGCGGGAAAATTTGAACCCTCCTTCCGCATTTTCCATGCGGAAATCGCAACCCTGGAGAGAGGGCTTCAGCAGAGACAGAGAGAGAGTTCGTGTCGCTGTTCTTCCTTGTGTGGTTGACGGAGCGTGCAGAGCACAGTGGGGCTACTGTGCATGGTCCGTCGTTTGGGTTGCGTGGCCACGATCACACTCCTGTGTGTCTTTGTGTTGATGTTCGTGAAGGAAACGTGGTCATCGCTGTGTGTGTTCATGTTCTGATGATGCGGCTGATGACCGGCAAGTTACAGCCACAAACGATACGGAATATTTATGTCGCTTGCGGGAGGAATCCGACGAGATTTAAAGCGCTTTTTCACAGATGCCCAGTCGGGGCCGTTTAGAACGTTACAACAATAAAGGGTGCAAAAAAAAACCGATGAGAGTGAAACGTATAAGAAAGGTAAACACATTTTGACTTAAAACTTTCATGACTGCAGGGATTCATATTCTTTGGTTCTTTCGGTAAAGTCACGTAGATAGAAAAATAATAAAAAAAGTGAGTAAAAATTTAATAAAAAAGAAAGTGAATAAAAATAAAATATTATTTGTAATAAAACACAAAAAAACGAATGTAGACTGTAGCCTGGTTCTTAATCGGAGTGAGTGTACTGGCAGTCTATAATGTAGACTAGCAATGGTTATTAAGCTGGGTGAGTGCACTGGCAGTCTGTAATGTAGACTGTAGCCTGGTTATTAAGCTGGGTGAGTGTACTGGCAGTCTATAATGTAGACTGTAGCCTGGTTATTAAGCTGGGTGAGTGCACTGGCAGTCTATAATGTAGACTGTAGCCTGGTTATTAAGCTGGATGAGTGTAATGGCAGTCTATAATGTAGACTGTAGCCTGGTTATTAAGCTGGGTGAGTGCACTGGCAGTCTAATGTAGACTGTAGCCTGGTTATTAAGCTGGGTGAGTGCACTGGCAGTCTATAATGTAGACTGTAGCCTGGTTATTAAGCTGGGTGAGTGCACTGGCAGTCAATGTAGACTGTAGCCTGGTTATTAAGCTGGGTGAGTGCACTGGCAGTCTATAATGTAGACTGTAGCCTGGTCATTAAGCTGGGTGAGTGTACTGGCAGTCTATAATGTAGACTGGTGCCTGGTTCTTAAGCTGGGTGAGTGTACTGGCAGTCTATAATGTAGACTGTAGCCTGGTTATTAAGCTGGGTGAGTGTACTGGCAGTCTATAATATAGACTGTAGCCTGGTTATTAAGCTGGATGAGTGTACTGGCAGTCTATAATGTAGACTAGCGATGGTTATTAAGTTACATAGCTCCTTTTCCAGAAACGACCTGGCTCTACGTAGGTGGCTTACCATCATCACCACCATCATCATCACCATCATCACTATCATCACCATCATCGTCACCATCACCACCATCATCACCATCATCATCATCACCATCATCACCATCATCACCACCATCATCATCACCATCACCACCATCACCACCATCATCATCACCATCATCACCATCATCACTATCATCATCATCACCATCATCATCACCATCATCACCATCATCGTCACCATCATCATCACCATCATCGTCACCATCATCACCACCATCATCACCACCATCATCATCACCATCATCACCATCATCACTATCATCACCATCATCATCACCACCATCATCATCACTATCATAATCACCATCATCACCACCATCACCACCACCACGTGGTAATCTGTAGCGGATGCGTTATTTAATCATGCGTCTAGCGCCAGGCTGGAGTGCAGTCCTCTGCCACTGAGTAGTTACAGACTGAGTAGTTACAGACTACCTACAGCCACTGAGTAGTTACTGGTGTATGGGATGTGGGGTGTGTGTGGTTTGGTGATTTGGGGTGGTGTGGTGATTTGCGGGGTGTGCGGCGGTGTTTACGATGGGTCATATTCCGGGCCCGGTACTCCACGTTGCCTTGACAAATAAAATGTTTTTATTTTGCGCGGACACTCCGTGACCTCGCGTGTGTCTGCGTGCTGCCCCGTGACTGCCCCGTTAGGGAGCGGTGGTGCAGCGGTTAGCGCGCTCCGCAACGAATCTGGCGAGCCGAGTTCGGCCAACAACCAGTGACGGATTTTACCTGCACCGCCACTTAGAGAGACAAAGGCGGCCGGGCGTGGTGCTCACCACCCAACAACCCGCCCTGCTTACAGCACTTGCCCCTCGCAGTGTTAGAGGCTACACGGGGCTACTTTGTCTTTGCCGTGTAGCCATCAGAGATGGAAGAGCGTCCTCCTACTGCCGCCTGGCGGCTCAATCGCGCAAGTTCAGCACCACCAACAGCGCCACCAGCACCACCAACAGCACCACCACCAGCACCACCACCACCAGCACCACCACCTCGGCTGTTGTTGCCGAGAGAGAGAGAGGAGGGAGAAGCGGCGTCTTGGGTCTCGCCTGGGCACCATGGAGGCCGAGATGACGCCTCCGAGGGCGCTGAGCGGCAGTCGGAGCGGCGGCTACGGGGCCATGGACGACACCAGCTGGGGTCGCGGGACGCGCGCAGGTGGTGGGGTGGGGGGCACGGGGCAGTGGGGGACAATGGTGGGACACGGGGCAGTGGGGGGCAGGGGGGCAGTGGTGGGAGAGTGGGGGGCACGGGGCAGTGGGGGGCACGGGGGCAGTGGTGGGGCACGGGGCAGTGGGGGGCACGGGGCACTGATGGGCAGTGGTGAGCAGAGGTGGACACGGGGCAGTGGGGGCCACGGGACAGTGGGGGGCACGGGGCAGTGGGGGGCACGGGACAGTGGGGGGCACGGGGTAGTGGGGGGCACTGATGGGCAGTGGTGAGCAGTGGGGGGCACGGGGCAGTGGGGGGTACGGGGCAGTGGGGGGCACGGGGCAGTGGGGGCAGGGGGTCAGTGGGGGGCAGGGGGTCAGTGGGGGGCACGGGGCAGTGGGGGGCACGGGGCAGTGGGGGCACGGGGCAGTGGTGGGCAGGGGGTCAGTGGTGGACACGGGGCAGTGGGGGGCAGGGGGGCAGTGGGGGGCACGGGGCAGTGGGGGGCACGGGGCAGTGGGGGGCAGTGGGGGGCACGGGGCAGTGGGGGGCAGTGGGGGGCACGGGGACATGAACGCGCATTGCTGTGTCGCGACAGCCGAATGTGAGCGTGAGTGAATTCGCGAGTGAATCTGTGAGAAGATCACGTTGGCACTTGGGGCTAATTGGGTGGGAGAAACGGTGTCGGCCGAAGAAATCACTGGTCGGGGCGCTCGGCACGGTGATGAAGGAATCGGGGGGGGGGGGGGTGCGCCGGAAGATCTTCGCTCATTCATTCATTAGCTTGTTCATTCATTCGCTCATTCATTCATTATCTCATTCATTCGCTCAATCATTCATTAGCTCATTCATACATTCGCTCATGCATTCATTAGCACATTCATTCGCTCATTCATTCATTAGCTCATTCATTCGCTCATTTATTCATTCGCCCATTCATTCGCTCATTCATTCGCTCGTTCATTCATTAGCTCATTCATTCATTATCACATTCATTAGCTCATTCATTCATTAGCTCATTCATTCGCTCATTCATTCATTAGCTCATTCATTCATTAGCTCATTCATTCGTGAGCTCATTCATTAGCTCATTCATTCGCTCATTCATTCATTCGCTCATTCATTCATTAGCTCATTCATTCATTAGCTCATTCATTCATTCGCTCCATCGCCATCCAACAGCAGCCAAACGTTCAGTCACCGAACGGGGTGCCAGTGCAGTCGACAATTTCAAACCAAATCACAATCCCCGCACCAAATCATTGCGGCAATTTTTCGAAAGTCCGCCCATTCATTCGTTTATCCTTCAAACCATTCCGGCTCAACGCCGCGGTGGCTAGGAGATGTTAACTACCTCGCCTGGTACGCAGGAGGTCGTGGGTTCGATCCCGACCCTGACGCCTGCTTCTGAATATTTGGAGTTTGCGTGTCTCTCGCATTCAGAATCAACATCACCACGCGCTTCGAGTATTCGGCTGATCTGAACGATGATGATGACGATAGGCCAACTTCGTTGAGTTGTCATTTGTGATAGCCAGGGTAAGGCGCCTTAACCGGTAAAATAAATCAAACAATTATTCCGGATCGAAATCGGCCGCAAACTACACGCGCTGCACAAGCCCGATGCTTGCTAAACCACCCTCGTGGTAATTGTTTTTTTTACCCTTTTATCTGGCAACAAAACTGACACCTTTTTAAACAAGGAGTCATGTTTGTATTGACCACAATTCCTGCGGCCTGATGCTGTTGTTGATGGTGTTGTTGATGGTGTTGTTAATGATGATGTTGTTGATGGTGTTGTTGATGATGTTGTTGATGGTGTTGTTGATGATGATGTTGTTGATGGTGTTGTTGATAATGTTGATGGTGTTGTTGATGGTGTTGTTGTTGATGATGTTGTTGATTATGTTGTTGATGGTGTTGTTGATGGTGTTGTTGATGGTGTTGTTAATGATGATGTTGTTGATGGTGTTGTTGATGATGTTGTTGATGGTGTTGTTGATGATGATGTTGTTGATGGTGTTGTTGATGGTGTTGTTGATAATGTTGATGGTGTTGTTGATGGTGTTGTTGATGATGATGTTGTTGATGATGTTGTTGATGATGTTGTTGATTATGTTGTTGATGCTGTTGTTGATGGTGTTGTTGTTGATGATGATGTTGTTGATTATGTTGTTGATGGTGTTCCTGATGCTGTTGTTGATGGTGTTGTTGATGGTGTTGTTGATGGTGTTGTTGTTGATGATGTTGTTGATTATGTTGTTGATGGTGTTGTTGATGGTGTTGTTGATGGTGTTGTTGTTGATGATGTTGTTGATGGTGTTGTTGATGATGTTGTTGATGGTGTTGTTGATGGTGTTGTTGATGGTGTTGTTGTTGATGATGTTGTTGATTATGTTGTTGATGATGTTGTTGATGGTGTTGTTGATGGTGTTGTTGATAATGTTGATGGTGTTGTTGTTGATGATGTTGTTGATTATGTTGTTGATGCTGTTGTTGATGGTGTTGTTGATGGTGTTGTTGATGGTGTTGATGGTGTTCCTGATGCTGTTGTTGATGGTGTTGTTGTTGTTGTTGATGATGTTGTTGATGTTGTTGTTGATTATGTTGTTGATGGTGTTCCTGATGCTGTTGTTGATGGTATTGTTGATGGTGTTGTTGATGGTGTTGTTGATGGTGTTGTTGATGGTGTTGCTGATGGTGTTGTTGATGGTGTTGCTGTTTATGCTGTTGTTGATGCTGATGTTGATGCTGTTATTGATGCTGTCGATGATGTTGTTGATGGTGTTGTTGATGGTGTTGTTGATGGTGTTACTGATTATGCTGATGACGTTGTTGATGCTGTTGTTGACGATGTTGTTGTTGATGATGTTGTGGATGACGTTGTTGTTGACGTTGTTGTTGACGTTGTTGTTGATGGTGTTGTTGATGCTGTTGTTGATGTTGTTGTTGATGCTGTTGTTGATGGTGTTGTTGATGGTGTTGTTGATGGTGTTGTTGATGCTGCTGTTGTTGTTGTTGATGCTGTTGTTGATGCTGTTGTTGATGGTGTTGTTGATGGTGTTGTTGATGGTGTTGTTGATGCTGCTGTTGTTGTTGTTGACGCTGTTGTTGACGCTGTTGTTGATGCTGTTGTTGATGGTGTTGTTGATGGTGTTGTTGATGGTGTTACTGATTATGCTGATGACGTTGTCGATGATGTTGTTGATGCTGTTGTTGTTGGTGTTGTTGATGCTGTTGTTGACGCTGTTGTTGACGCTGCTGTTGCTGCTGCTGCTGTTGGAGCAGACGAGGAGGCGGCGGGCGACGTGGTGTCCATGGCCGACTCGACGGCCACGCTGGAGGAGCTCGAGGAGGAGCTGGTCCGCATCGAGCGGCTCCGCGAGCAGCTGGTGCGGCGAGAGTCGGAGCTCAGATACATGTGAGGCAACGTCCCCCCAACGTCCCCTCAAGGTCCCCTCAACGTCCTCCCAACGTCCCCTCAACGTCCCCTCAACGTCCCCCCAACGTCCCCCCAACGTCCCCTCAAGGTCCCCTCAACGTCCCCCCAACGTCCCCTCAACGTCCCCCCAACGTCCCCCCAACGTCCCCTCAAGGTCCCCTCAACGTCCCCCCAACGTCCCCCCAACGTCCCCCCAACGTACCCTCAACGTCCTCCCAACGTCCCCTCAACGTCCCCTCAACGTCCCCCCAACGTCCCCCCAACGTCTCCTCAACGTCCCCTCAACGTCCCCCCAACGTCCCCTCAACGTCCCCTCAACGTCCTCCCAACGTCCCCCCAACGTCCCCCCAACGTCCCCCCAACGTCCCCCCAACGTCCCCCCAACGTCCCCCCAACGTCCCCTCAACGTCCCCCCAACGTCCCCCAACGTCCCCAACGTCCCCTCAACGTCCCCCCAACGTCCCCTCAACGTCCCCCCAACGTCCCCTCAACGTCCCCCCAACGTCCCCCAACGTCCCCCAACGTCCCCCCAACGTCCCCTCAACGTCCCCTCAGTAACTCCTCAACACCCCCCTCAGTAACCCCTCAACATCCTGCTGGAAGGGCAGAATCAAATTGAATGGGATCAGGGATTTCATTTTGTGCAGCCATTGGTGACCAGGCCAAGAGCATCAACTCACTGCACATGAGAACCCGGTTTCAGCACTTCTCAGTCTGTGTGACCATGTGGGTCTCAACGTGAATCTATGGGTCTCTGTCTGAGTCTATGGGTCTCTGTGTGAGTCTATGGGTGTCTGTGCGAGTCTATGTGTCTCTGTGTGAGTCTATGGGTCTCTGTGTGTCTGTGGGTCTCTGTGCGAATCTGGGTCTCTACGTGAGTCTATGGGTCTCTGTGTGAGTCTATGGGTCTCTGTGTGAGTCTATGGGTCTTTGTGTGAGTTATGGGTCTCAATGTGAGTCTATGGGTCTCAACGTGAGTCTATGGGTCTCTGTGTGAGTCTGTGGGTCTCTCGGGTCGCCGGGTTCATAGCGCAGCGTAGCGCTAACCGCTACACCACCACTCCCCACCCGCACACACACACACAACACGCACGCACAATGTAGCTTGCATTGGCAAGACAAACCTCCCAAGGCCGACCCCCCCCCCCCCCCTGCCGGAAAATCACTCGGTAGGCACACACACAGCAACAGCAGCAGCAGCAGCAAAAAAACTTGGCAGGATCCTCCTGAGAAGGAGTCTTGAGACTCGGCGAGGCTCCGCCGGTGGCGAACGGGCGGATCGGGAGCGACGGTAGCGCGTGACGATCCCGTCGGTGGTGCCGTGTGCCGGCAGGATGGACGACATGCAGCTGTGCCAGGAGATCTCGCGCCTCAAGGCGGAGCTGCAGGCCCTGGTCTCCCTCCCAGGTGACTCACGGGGGGACCCTCCACATGCAAGGCCACGCCGCTGCCCACCGCACCCCCACCCACCTCCCTGCACCTCCACCCACCTTCTGCACCTCCACCCACCTCTTTGCACCTCCACCCACCTCCACCCACCCACCTCTCTGCACCTCCCCGCACCCCCTGCACCCCAACCCACCTCCCTGCACCCCCACCCACCTCCCTGCACCCCCACCCACCTCCCTGCACCCCCACCCACCTCCCTGCACCCCCACCCACCTCCCTGCACCCCCACCCACCTCCCTGCACCCCCACCCACCTCCCTGCACCCCCACCCACCTCCCTGCACCCCACCCACCTCCCTGCACCCCTACCCACCTCCCTGCACCCCCACCCACCTCCCTGCACCCCCACCCACCTCCCTGCACCTCCACCCACCTCCCTGCACCTCCTGCACCCCCACCCACCCCCACCCACCTCCCTGCACCCCCACCCACCTTCCTGCACCCCCATCCACCTCCCTGCACCTCCACCCACCTCCCTGCACCTCCTGCACCTCCACCCACCTCTTTGCACCCCCACCCACCCACCTCCACCCACCTCTCTGCACCTCCCTGCACCTCCCTGCACCCCCACCCACCTCCACCACCTCCCTGCACCTCCCTGCACCTCCACCCACCTCCACCCACCTCCCTGCACCTCGCCGCTCGCCTCGGTGCCTTGGCTCTCCCCCAGACGCGGAGCGCGCGGGCAGCGCGGCGCGTGCCCAGGAGGAGTCGCTCATCAGGACGATCCACGAGCTGGTGGAGAAGAGGGACTACCTGGTGGACGACGTGGAGCTCGAGAGGCTCAGGTGCGCGCACCTCTCTCGCCCCGCACCCCCACGGACAACGATCCCCCGCGTGATTCTAGACTTGAAGCTTTCGTGACTGCGAGGATTCATACTCTTGGGTTTTTTCGGTAAAGTCACGTAGGTAGAAATAAATAATAAAAGAAATAAACCAAATAATGGAATTTCTTGTATTATATTTATTTATTTTTATAATATAATTTCTATTTATTTATTTATTATTATTTTATTTTTACCTACGTGACTTTACCGATAAAACCGAAGAGTATCTCCCGTGTAGCCTGAACAGACTGTAGGGGCAAGTGCTGTTAGCGAGCGCCTATGAAGGCCGGCACGGCACACGAGGAGATGGGGTGGCAAGCACCACGCCCGGCCGCCTTTGTCTCCCCAGTGGCGACGTTTACTACACACCGCACCGGGTACTCAGTTGAGGCTGAGTCGACCTTGGGGGAGGCTCAGGAACCGTTTCAGATAATCGTCACTGGTGTTGGCCGTGAGCGGGAATCGAACCCGGGTCGCCGGGTTCGCGGCGCTAACCGCTGCGCCACCGCTCCCCCGGGTGGTCGACCCTGCGCTGTGTGACGCAGGGAGCGCGAGGAGGACAAGGAGATGTCAGATTTCCTGCAGAAGAAGCTCAGGAAGAAGGAGCGGCCATTGCGAGCAGGTACCTCGTGCAGCCAGCTATGGCTGCAGAGTTTGGTGGTACATGTTGTTTATGTCGTTTATTGTGAAAATTCGGTCACAGTTCCTATGACCACTGTTTCATTGCTTTTATGGCTTTATTTTGGTGATTTTCGAAAAGTTTTCTGGTTTGGCCATGTTTGTGTTGTTGTAGTACAGAGTTAGACTGATGGCCTTAATCTAAGTTGTCTTGTGGTTGTTGTTGTTGTTGTTTGACTTGCATCCCACTGGGATATTTGCACCGGGTTGGTGTACGGTGTTTTTTTCTGCAATATTTTGCTGTCTTTTCTTGGATTTTCTGTTTGCACTTAGTCACTTTAAGATGTTTTCTTGTTCATGTTTTTGTTTTTTGTTTGTTGCGGTTGCACCCGATTCAAGAGCCGAATGGCTCACAGGGCTATACCTAATACATGAACTTTGAACCTCGTGAGCACGCGCGTTATCCCTCCCAAATTGTCAATCGACATCGCGCCCATTTCTCGGCCGCTACGGATGTCCGCACGGTGATGAACCACCGCTGCTGCTGCTTAGTGGAGCCGTCGTTTGTGACGATGGCCAGGTCGCTCAATGGGTCCCATACCTGGTGCGGAAAATAAATAAAAATTACACAGGTCAACAAAAAAAAAATTCTGGCCTGGACTTTTGCAGCTGTTCTAGACTAATTTCAGGGTGCCGATTCGAAATCTGATCTCAGATTTGCTCTATCACATCTCATTTTTATGCTATAGGCATACCCCATTTTCATTGATTTTACCAGAAATTAACTCTGTCACTTATGATTGCAAGTTGATGCGAGTCAGTGACTGCTTTAGTGTTAAAATACGGTGCTGTATTTTTAGGACAGTGTTTATAATATCATTTTATGTAGATATACACATTTATTGAATATTTTTCTTCCGCAGTTTTTATTGAAAATACAATATTTAATATCTCAAAAAACCTGATGCGATAGACAAAAACTGATGCCAGATTTGGAATCAGCACCCCAAAATTACCTTAATACCTTTCGATTTAAAGCTTTCGTGACTGCAGGGATTCATCTTCTTGGTTCTTTCGGTAAAGTCACGTAGAAGGGAAGTAATAAAATAATAAATAATAAAACATAATAAAATAACCTTAATACCGTTGGAATACCTCGTGCCAGAAAAAGTGTGTTGACCAGTGTAGTTATCGAGTGCGACTCGCGACGTCTGTCCGCGTGTGTCTCCGCAGACGCGGTGCGGGCGGGGGACCGCCGGGAGAGCGAGGGGTCCCCGCAGGGAAAGCCGACGTTCGCCAAGACAGGTCTCACCCTCCTCAAGGACTGCTGCGGCTTGGCCTCCTGCTGCGTGCAGTGACCTCCCGTGGGGACAGCGCTCGCGTCGGGAGCGGGAAGGCGCGTGTGCGGGCGCGTGTGTGTGTGGGTGAGTGTGGGCGTGTGTGGGTGAGTGAGTGTGGATGAGTGTGGGTGAGTGTGGGTGAGTGAGTGTGAGCGAGTGTGAGTAAGTGTGAGCGTGTGTGGGTGAGTGTGGGCGAGTGTGGGCGTGTGTGGGTGAGTGTGTGTGGATGAGTGTGGGTGAGTGTGGGTGAGTGTGGGCGTGTGTGGGTGAGTGTGTGTGGATGAGTGTGGGTGAGTGTGGGTGAGTGAGTGTAAGTGTGAGCGTGTGTGGGTGAGTGAGTGTGAGCGTGTGTGAGTGAGCGTGGGCGAATGTGAGTGAGCATGGGCGTGTGTGGACGAGCGAGTGAGTGTGAGCGTGTGTGGGTGAGTGAGTGTGAGCGAGTGTGAGCGAGTGTGGGTTAGTGAGTGTGAGTGAGTGTGAGTGAGTGTGAGCGAGTGTGAGCGTGTGTGGGTTAGTGAGTGTGAGCGTGTGTGGGTGAGCGAGTGTGAGCGTGTGTGGGTGAGTGAGTGTGAGCGAGTGTGAGCGAGTGTGGGTGAGTGAGTGTGAGCGAGTGTGAGCGTGTGTGGGTTAGTGAGTGTGAGCGTGTGTGGGTGTGAGGGAGCGAGTGTGAGTGAGTGTGAGCGTGTGTGGGTGAGTGAGTGTGAGTGTGAGCGTGTGTGGGTGTGAGGGAGCGAGTGTGAGTGAGTGTGAGTGAGTGTGAGCGTGTGTGGGTGAGTGAGTGTGTGTGAGTGTGAGCGGGTGTGAGTGAGTGTGAGTGAGTGTGAGCGAGTGTGAGCGTGTGTGGGTGAGTGAGTGTGTGTGAGCGTGTGTGGGTGAGTGAGTATGAGCGAGTGTGAGCGTGTGTGGGTGAGTGAGTGTGAGTGAGTGTGAGTGAGTATGAGCGAGTGTGAGCGAGTGTGGGTGTAAGTGAGTGTGAGTGAGTGTGAGTGGGTGTGAGTGAGTGTGAGTGAGTGTGAGTGAGTGTGAGCGAGTGTGAGTGAGTGTGAGTGAGTATGAGCGAGTGTGAGCGAGTGTGGGTGAGTGAGTGTGAGCGAGTGTGAGTGAGTGTGAGTGAGTGTGAGTGAGTGTGAGCGAGTGTGAGCGAGTGTGGGTGAGTGTGAGTGAGTGTGAGTGTGAGCGAGTGTGAGTGAGTGTGAGTGAGTATGAGCGAGTGTGAGCGAGTGTGGGTGAGTGTGAGTGAGTGTGAGTGAGTGTGAGTGAGTGTGAGTGAGTGTGAGCGTGTGAGTGTGAGCGTGTGTGGGTGAGTGAGTATGAGCGAGTGTGAGCGAGTGTGGGTGAGTGAGTATGAGCGAGTGTGAGCGAGTGTGGGTGAGTGAGTGTGAGTGAGTGTGAGTGAGTGTGAGTGAGTGTGAGTGAGTGTGAGCGAGTGTGAGCGTGTGTGGGTGAGTGAGTATGAGCGAGTGTGAGCGAGTGTGGGTGAGTGAGTGTGAGTGAGTGTGAGCGTGTGTGAGTGAGTGTGAGTGAGTGTGAGTGAGTATGAGCGAGTGTGAGCGTGTGTGGGTGAGTGAGTGTGAGTGAGTGTGAGTGAGTGTGAGCAAGTGTCTGTGTGTGGGGAGCGGTGGTGTAGCGGTTAGCGCCATGCTGCGCTACGAACCCGGCGACCCGAGTTCGATTCCCGATCACGGCCAACACCAGTGACGATTATCTGAACCGATCCTGGGCCTCCCCAAGGTCGACTCAGCCTCAAATGAGTACCCGGTGCGGTGTGTCGACATCGCCACTAGGGAGACAAAGGCGGCCGGGCGTGGTGCTGGCCACCCACCCCCTTGTGCGCCATTCCGGCCTTCATAGGTGCTCGCTAACAGCTCTTGCCCCAACAGTCTGTTAAGGCTACACGGGGGATCTTTGTCTTTATCTTCGTGTGTAGAGCGAGCGGTAGTGCAGCGGTTATCGCACTGCGCTACGAACCCGGTGATCCAAGTTCAATAACCAACATCAGTGACGAATATCTGAACTGGTCCAAAGCCTGGCGCACAGTGGTCATCAATACCCTGACTGATTTGGCAAAATGCTGCTGCCAATCAGATTTGGGATGAGGGAGATGTTGACCTTCCTGCTCAGACTTCTATTTGCATCTGTTGGGACTTCCAGCATCTGTTGGGACTTGCATCTGTTGGGACTTGCATCTGTTGGGACTTCCATCTGTCCGGACTTACATCTGTTCGGCTGTTTAGACTTGCATCTGTTAGGATTTCGGCGGAGAGGAGTGGCTCCGATTCTATGCTATGCTTGCGTAAGGCAGCAGTGGCCTGCTGCTGCCCGCCATGACGAGAGGGCTTCAGCAGAGAGAGAGAGTTTGTGTCGTGTCGCTGTTCCTTAACCTCCTCCGTAGAAGGAGCGCAGACTGTGGTACTTTACGATATGCTCCCGAGTTTGAGTTGCATGGCCACAGTCACCCTCTGACTCGTATCCAGTGTATCTCTGTGTACCTCTGTGTGTCTCTATGGGTCTATTTGGCTCTTTATAGGTCTCAAAGTGTCTCTGCGAGTCGCTGTGGGTTTGCTCTGTGGTGCATCGTGTTGGTTGCATGGCCTCAATCGCACTTGTGTTGCCCGTGTCTTTAATTTCCTATTTATGAAGGAGATGTGCGCCTCGGCCTGTTGTTGTTGATGTTCTGATGATGCGGTTCATGGCTCCCACCACCAGTGTCTCCGACGAGGAGGATGAGGAATGTCACAGGCAGGAGGCGGTGCGATGATGATGTTTGGGTCTCGAATGAGGAGGTGTTGATTCATCTGGACGTCCACGTTGCTACACTCAGTGAAGCAGCATCAGCAGCAGCGTTCATCCCGATCTGAGTGGTGATATTCTAGGATGGTGACATCAGCAGCAGCGTTCTGCTGGGTCTGGGTGGTGCGATTCTAGGATGGTGACATCAGCAGCAGCAGTAGCAGCGTTCTGCTGGGTCTGGGTGGTGAGATTCTAGGATGGTGACATCAGCAGCAGCAGCAGCGTTCTGCTGGGTCTGGGTGGTGAGATTCTAGGATGGTGACATCAGCAGCAGCAGTAGCAGCGTTCTGCTGGGTCTGGGTGGTGAGATTCTAGGATGGTGACATCAGCAGCAGCAGCAGCGTTCTGCTGGGTCTGGGTGGTGAGATTCTAGGATGGTGACATCAGCAGCAGCAGTAGCAGCGTTCTGCTGGGTCTGGGTGGTGAGATTCTAGGATGGTGACATCAGCAGCAGCAGTAGCAGCGTTCTGCTGGGTCTGAGTGGTGAGATTCTAGGATGGTGACATCATCAGCAGCAGTAGCAGCGTTCTGCTGGGTCTGGGTGGTGAGATTCTAGGATGGTGACATCAGCAGCAGCAGTAGCAGCGTTCTGCTGGGTCTGGGTGGTGAGATTCTAGGATGGTGACATCAGCAGCAGCAGTAGCAGCGTTCTGCTGGGTCTGGGTGGTGAGATTCTAGGATGGTGACATCAGCAGTAGCAGCAGCGTTCTGCTGGGTCTGGGTGGTGAGATTCTAGGATGGTGACATCAGCAGTAGCAGTGTTCTGCTGGGTCTGGGTGGTGAGATTCTAGGATGGTGACATCAGCAGCAGCAGTAGCAGCGTTCTGCTGGGTCTGGGTGGTGAGATTCTAGGATGGTGACATCAGCAGTAGCAGCAGCGTTCTGCTGGGTCTGAGTGGTGAGATTCTAGGATGGTGACATCAGCAGCAGCAGCAGCGTTCTGCTGGGTCTGGGTGGTGAGATTATAGGATGGTGACATCAGCAGCAGTAGCAGCGTTCTGCTGGGTCTGAGTGGTGAGATTCTAGGATGGTGACATCAGCAGCAGTAGCAGCGTTCTGCTGGGTCTGAGTGGTGAGATTCTAGGATGGTGACAGCAGCAGCAGCAGCGTTCTGCTGGGTCTGAGTGGTGAGATTATAGGATGGTGACATCAGCAGCAGTAGCAGCGTTCTGCTGGGTCTGAGTGGTGAGATTCTAGGATGGTGACAGCAGCAGCAGCAGCGTTCTGCTGGGTCTGAGTGGTGAGATTATAGGATGGTGACAGCAGCAGCAGTAGCAGCGTTCTGCTGGGTCTGAGTGGTGAGATTATAGGATGGTGACATCAGCAGCAGTAGCAGCGTTCTGCTGGGTCTGAGTGGTGAGATTCTAGGATGGTGACAGCAGCAGCAGCAGCGTTCTGCTGGGTCTGAGTGGTGAGATTATAGGATGGTGACATCAGCAGCAGTAGCAGCGTTCTGCTGGGTCTGAGTGGTGAGATTCTAGGATGGTGACAGCAGCAGCAGCAGCGTAATCCCAGAGGGGATGGGGATCTTGACTTTGAGTCCTGGGCGAGGTGAAATACTTGAGGTCTTGGTTGAGATACAAAGAGACCCATAGAGATAGAAAGAGGCTCATAGAGATACAAAGAGAGCCATAGAGATATAAATAGAGCCATAGGGACTCATAGAAATACAAAGAGACCCATTAGAGACTCATAGCACCGGCTCCTCACCGCGCGTCTGTGATTCCTCCTCCTCTTCCTCGTGCCTCCGAGTCGTCCCTGTCCCTCCCTACGAGAGCGACTCATCCGTGCGGTTTATGCCGCCGTGGTCGTCGTGGTGGTCGTCGTTGCATCGGTGAGCTCAGCGGGAGAGGGTGACGCTGTCTCTTCTAGTTGTCGCGTGGCGACGGTGGTTGGCACGTAGGTAAAAAATGAAATTAAAATTAATAAAATAATAAAAATCACGACGTTTCGGAGGCAACACAAGTCTCCGTCATCAGGTGGGACCGTCACAGCCATATTTGCTGTATTGATAATTTCATTTTTTACCTAAGTGACTTTACCGAAAAAACTAAGAGTATGAATCCGTGCAGTCACGAAAGCTTCAAATCTAGAATGGATGTTCCGTGTTTGTGCAGGGGTCGCCGGAGGTCGATCTCCATCCTTGAACCCCCCTTCCCCCAATAAAATGTGCAATGGCCACACCCCTCACCCCTGACTCCTCTCTATCACAATCTGTGTCTCTCTCTCTCGCTCCTGTGGGAGGTCAGCAGTTGTCTCCCTGGTGATTGTTGACCCTACGAGGTCAGTGGTTGGATGGCAGGGTGGAGGTTGTTGCGGTGGTAATGCTCGAGAAAGGCTCTGGGTTCGATTCCCCAACACATTGTGTCCTCCTGTTCTGCAGAGTGAGAGTGAGTGGAGTTTGTATGATCTCCTCCTGTTCTGCAGAGTGAGAGTGAGTGGAGTTTGTATGATCTCCTGCTGTTCTGCAGAGTGAGTGAAGTTTGTATGACCTCCTGCTGTTATGCAGAGTGAGAGTGAGTGAGTGGAGTTTGTATGATCTCCTCCTGTTCTGCAGAGTGAGAGTGAGTGGAGTTTGTATGATCTCCTCCTGTTCTGCAGAGTGAGAGTGAGTGGAGTTTGTATGATCTCCTGCTGTTCTGCAGAGTGAGTGAAGTTTGTATGACCTCCTGCTGTTCTGCAGAGTGAGAGTGAGTGGAGTTTGTATGATCTCCTCCTGTTCTGCAGAGTGAGAGTGAGTAAGTGGAGTTTGTATGATCTCCTCCTGTTCTGCAGAGTGAGAGTGAGTGGAGTTTGTATGATCTCCTGCTGTTCTGCAGAGTGAGTGAAGTTTGTATGACCTCCTGCTGTTATGCAGAGTGAGAGTGAGTGAGTGGAGTTTGTATGATTTCCTGCTGTTCTGCAGAGTGAGAGTGAGTGGAGTTTGTATGATCTCCTGCTGTTCTGCAGAGTGAGTGAGTGGAGTTTGTATGATTTCCTGCTGTTTTGCAGAGTGAGAGTGAGTGGAGTTTGTATGATCTCCTACTGTTCTGCAGAGTGAGAGTGAGTGGAGTTTGTATGATCTCCTCCTGTTCTGCAGAGTGAGAGTGAGTGGAGTTTGTATGATCTCCTCCTGTTCTGCAGAGTGAGAGTGAGTGGAGTTTGTATGATCTCCTGCTGTTCTGCAGAGTGAGAGTGAGTGGAGTTTGTATGATTTCCTGCTGTTCTGCAGAGTGAGAGTGAGTGGAGTTTGTATGATCTCCTGCTGTTCTGAAGAGTGAGAGTGAGTGGAGTTTGTATGATTCCCTGCTGTTCTGCAGAGTGAAAGTGAGTGGAGTTTGTATGATCTTCTGCTGTTCTGTAGAGTGAGAGTGAGTGGAGTTTGTATGACCTCCTGCTGTTCTGTAGAGTGAGAGGAGTTTGTATGACCTCCTGCTGTTCTTCAGAGTGAAAGTGAGTGGAGTTTGTATGATCTGCTGTTCTGTAGAGTGAGAGTGAGTGGCGTTTGTATGATCTCCTGCTGTTCTGTAGAGTGAGAGTGAGTGGAGTTTGTATGACCTCCTGCTGTTCTTCAGAGTGAAAGTGAGTAGAGTTTGTATGATCTCCTGCTGTTCTGTAGAGTGAGAGTGAGTGAGTGGAGTTTGTATGATCTCCTGCTGTTCTGCAGAGTGAGTGGAGTTTGTATGATCTCCTGCTGTTCTGCAAAGTGAGAGTGAGTGGAGTTTGTATGATCTCCTGATGTTCTGCAGAGTGAGTGAGTGGAGTTTGTATGATCTCCTACTGTTCTGCAGAGTGAGAGTGAGTGAAGTTTGTATGATCTCCTACTGTTCTGCAGAGTGAGAGTGAGTGGAGTTTGTATGATCTCCTGCTGTTATGCAGAGTGAGAGTGAGTGGAGTTTGTATGATTTCCTGCTGTTCTGCAGAGTGAGAGTGAGTGGAGTTTGTATGATCTCCCCCTGTTCTACAGAGTGAGAGTGAGTGAGTGGAGTTTGTATGATCTCCCCCTGTTCTACAGAGTGAGAGTGAGTGAGTGGAGTTTGTATGATCTCCTGATGTTCTGCAGAGTGAAAGTGAGTGGAGTTTGTATGATTTCCTGCTGTTCTGCAGAGTGAGAGTGAGTGGAGTTTGTATGATTCCCTGCTGTTCTGCAGAGTGAGTGGAGTTTGTAGATTATCTCCCCAAGTTCTGCATCTGTTTCCTCTGGATTCTCCGGCATCCCTCCTCCCGCAGTTAAACACAAACACAGTGCAAGCTGGAATCGGTCAAAGAAATATCCCAGTGGCTGAAAAATGACCGGACGATTACTCATTCTGGATCACACGCAAGCCAAAGCAGCAGCAGCAAAAGCAAAATCGCCCTCCCTTCTGCGAACAACTTTGGCAGGAAAAATCTTGAGACTCGTGAGAGAGGCTTTGAAGTGAACACCTCGATATGCGTACGTTCGATATCAGGATCTTTGGATTTATTGCTTTAAGCAGAGGAAGAACGGAAGACGTTGGGTGTCAGAAAGATGTGGTGCACTACTTGAGCGTGTTACAATTCGTAGAGAGAGAAAATTGGAAACGCCAAATGATGTAATGTGCAGTGGACACCTCACGGGGCCATGTGCCCATGTATCGTGGTGATGATGATGATGATAATATAATGACTTCAAACGGAAGGCTAAACATAAAGTATGATTAAGTATAAAATACAATATGAATGTACGAAGCTCCAGAAAGGCATAATACAGTGTTTTTTGGGGGTTTTAGATCGTGTAAATATAAATGTGTCGTTAAACCCGCCACCACCTGACACAGGCAATTACTAAGGTTTGTCACGTAATCAAACTTTACATAAACAAACCGTATTAAATTTTGATTTAAATCTTTCGTGACTGCAGGGATTCATTTTCTTGGTTCTTTCGTTAGAGTCACGTAGAAGGGCAGTAATAAAATAATAAAAATATTAAACATTTAAATCTACAGCAAGAACATTTTCTTGCTGTGGATTTCACACCTGATGACGGTTGCTGGTGTTGCAGTCGAAACGTCGTGAGAATTTAATTTTTATATTTTTATTATTTTATTATTTCCCTTCTACGTGACTTTACCGAAAGAACCAAGACGATGAATCGAATAAACTTCACATTTCTATTTACGCGATCAAATCCCCCCCAAAAAAACATGTATTATCGATTATATTGGTCTCTCTCTCCCTGTGTGGACGCGGGAGGCGTGCGGGTTCCACCGACCACTGCTCCACCCTCTATGCTCCACCCTCGTCCCCGTTCAGAGGAACGTGGAATTTCCACCACTGGCTCGAGGGGGGGGGGTCGTCACTTTTGTTGTTGTTCACAAGCCGTGCAGCACGTGACTCTTGACGTCACTCAGCCGCACGGACTCTGTGGTCGCCATGTTGGGTGAGTAGATTTCTGCTATTTTGGACGAGTGTTTGCAGCCATGTTGGGTGAGTATTTACAGCCATGTTGGGTGAGTAGTTTCCGCCATTTTGGGTGAGTAGTTGCCGCCATATTGGGTGAGTAATTTTCCGCCATCTTGGGCGAGTAGTCGCCATAATGGGTGAGTATTGACAGCCATGTTGGGTGAGTAGTTGCCGCCATCTTGGGTGAGTAATTTGCCGCCATCTTGGGTGAGTAAGTTGCTGCCATAATGGGGGAGGGATTTTGCCTTGAGGGCGCTTTCACAGCAGCAGTCAAAGTAATCGACTCAAATACGCCCCTCGGAATCGATTCCAGAGACGGCCATAGCAACAGATACAAATTTACGATTCCCAATTTTGTACAGGACAATCGAAGAATCGATTACTGTTTGTGTTTTGCAGGCGAGGCAATTTGCGTCGACGGTCTTGTGGCTGGAGGCGGCCCTGGGCAGTACGAAGCGATCCGCGCTAAACTCCTCAACATGATTGTTCACTCATAGTTCAGCGTAATTAATTAAGACAATTAATCAACACTTTACCTCATAATTACCTCGTATTTACCTCATGATTATCGTATTTTAGCTTAACTCGGGGTTTTATTTTGTTGTTGTTCGAGGGGGTGGGGAGAATTGCTCAATATTAGTCGCGGCTTCGAGCAGAGACTGGGTCGGCGTGACCTGGGTGAAGGGAAGAGAGAGGGGGATACGTGAGGGGGATACGTGAGGGGGGTACGTGAGGGATACGTGAAGGGGATACGTGAGGGGGGGTACGTGAGGAGGGATACGTGAGGAGAGATACGTGAGGGGGGTACGTGAGGGATACGTGAGGAGGGATACGTGAGGGGGGTACGTGAGGGATACGTGAGGGGGGTACGTGAGGGGATACGTGAGGGGGGTACGTGAGGGGGTAAGTGAGGGATACGTGAGGGGGATACGTGAGGGGATACGTGAGGGGGATACGTGAGGGATACGTGAGGGGGGTACGTGAGGGGGGATACGTGAGGAGAGATACGTGAGGAGAGATACGTGAGGGGATACGTGAGGAGAGATACGTGAGGAGGGATACGTGAGGAGGGATACGTGAGAGGGGTACGTGAGGAGAGATACGTGAGGAGGATTCCCGGGATCGACCAGGCAGAGGCCATGACGTGTGACCACTGCACAAAGGCGGTGAGAGGGTGATGGCGATTTTGGGTTGGGGGGAGTGATGGTGCGAGTGATGTTGATGTGAGGGTGATGGTGTGGGGGGGTGATGGTGATGTGGGGGGTGGTGTTGCGAGTGATGTGGGGGGGGGGGGGGGTGATGGTGATGTGGGGGTGGGGTGTGATGTTGATGTGAGGGTGATGGTGCGAGTGATGTTGATGTGAGGGTGATGGTGTGGGGGGGTGATGGTGATGTGGGGGGTGGTGTTGCGAGTGATGTGGGGGGGGGGGGTGATGGTGATGTGGGGGTGGGGTGTGATGTTGATGTGAGGGTGATGGTGCGAGTGATGTTGATGTGGGGGGGGGGGGGTGATGGTGCGAGTGATGTTGATGTGGGGGTGATGGTGTGGGGGGGGGGTGATGGTGATGTGGGGGGGTGGTGTTGCGAGTGATGTGGGGGGGGGGGGGTGATGTTGGGGGTGGGGTGTGATGTTGATGTGAGGGTGATGGTGCGAGTGATGTTGATGTGGGGGGGGGGGTGATGGTGCGAGTGATGTTGATGTGGGGGTGATGGTGTGGGGGGGGGGTGATGGTGATGTGGGGGGTGGTGGTGCGAGTGATGGTGATGTGGGGGGTGATGGTGTGGAGGTGATTGTGATGTGTGGGTGTGATAGTTTGAGTGTTGTTCGTGTGTGTGGAGGGGGGGTGATATTGTGATCATGTGATGGTTGTGGAGTGATGGTTGTGGTGTGATGGTTGTGGTGTGATGGTTGTGGAGTGATGGTTGTGGTGTGATGGTTGTGGAGTGATGGTTGTGGAGTGATGGTTGTGGTGTGATGGTTGTGGAGTGATGGTTGTGGTGTGATGGTTGTGGTGTGATGGTTGTGGAGTGATGGTTGTGGAGTGATGGTTGTGGAGTGATGGTTGTGGAGTGATGGTTGTGGTGTGATGGTTGTGGAGTGATGGTTGTGGAGTGATGGTTGTGGTGTGACGGTGTACATGACGATTATATGGAAATGATGGTGTGGTGATGCGGAGATGATGTGAGTTGTGGTGGTGTAAGTGATGCGAGTGATGGTGGAGTAGGTGACGGGAGTGATTGTGTAAGACTTGATGTTGTGAGCAGTGTCGTGATGATGTGAATTGGGATGGGAGTAATGCTGCGAGTATTGTTAGTGAGTGATGCTGTCAGGGGCACTGCCGTTGTGAGATGTTAACTACCTCGCCAGGTACACAGGAGGTCGTGGGTTCGATCCAGATCCTGACGATGCCTGCTGTATATTTGGAGTTTGCGTGTCTCTCTCTCTCTCCGTGGTGAGATGTTAACTACCTCGCTTGGTATACAGGAGGTCGTGGGTTCAATGTCGACATTGACGATGCCTGCTGTGTATATGGAGTTTCCAATGTCTCTCTCCCCGTGGTCGCGTAGATCTTTCTCCGGCTCCACATTTATATAATGAACGTGCGTTTAGAGTAAATTTGGCTGCCATACATTTCCACGTGAATGAGCCACTTTGTTGAACTATAATCTGTGGCTAGGTCGCTTCTGAAAAAGAGCTTTACAGCTCAGTGGGATTTACCTTGTTAAATAAATAAATACTGTATAGTCATTTACCGTTTATTGGAACACCACTTCTCTGCTTTCTCTACGTGCTCTGAAGAAGGGTCATTGCCTGAAACGTCGCCAGTAATATACTCTTTCTTTTTAAGGTGACAGTCCTCTTGACGAATATGTTGAATTGTATTTGTGACACCACCTGCCAATGCAGCAGCATCACCGCATACATTTATACCGATATTTTAGACTTCGCTTACCATCTCCGCTGTGTGCAGGAATGCTCCAAGAGGAAAGGGGTGACCCCCGGAGCAGCGGGGGAGCAGGCGGGGAGCGCGGGGGAGCAGGCGGGGGAGCAGGCGGGGGAGCAGGGCGCAGAGGAGAAGGGACCGGGCCGGGGTGAGTGTGGTGGTGAGGAGCGGACGCAGGCTCTGCTGGTCAGCGACTGCCTGGCGTGCGGAGGGTGCCTGTCAGCGGGTGAGCGCGTGCTCATGGCTCAGCAGAATCCCAAGCAGCTGATGGACGTGCTGCGCCCGCCAGAGGTGATGAGGCTCTGGGGAAACCACGACTACATTCACAACTGTAAACATTCATCTTCTTGGTTCTTTGGGTAAAGTCACGTAGAAGGGAAATAATAAAATAACCAAGAAGATGAATCCCTGCAGTCACGAAAGCTTTAAATCGAAATTTAACCACTGCGCCACCGCTCGCCACTACGCTGACCCACACGCCCACGCAACACAACCACGCAACACAACCACCACCTACACCGCCGCCCCGTGTCTCGCGACCGCTGAAGGCCGTGTTGGCGGTTGTCACAGGGCGGGCGCCGGGTGCGGGAGGTGGTGGCGTCGGTGTCACCCGAGTCGCTGGCGTGGCTGGCGGCACGGTACGGCATGGACACGGCGGAGACGGCACGCAGACTCACGGGCTTCCTGCACGGCCTGGGTGAGCACTCGATCGCACTCCCTCGCTCACACCCCCTCACTCACACTCACCCCCTCACTCACACTCCCTCACTCACACTCCCTCACTCACACTCCCTCACTCACACCATCATGGGATTCCTGCTCTGCCTGGGTGAATTCTCACTCATGTACCCAACTTCCCTTCTCTATTTATCCCCGTATCCCCCTCTCCCCCTGTCTCCATGTCTCCCCGTGTCCCCATGTCTCCCGTCGTGCCCCCTCTCTCCCATGCCCCCCTCCCCGTGCGTCGCCCCCCCTCGTGCTAGGTGTGCACCGTGTACTGGACGTGTCGGTGGCACGCGACGTGGCGCTCGCCGAATGCCAGCGCGAGTTTGTGCAGCGATTCCGTCATGAGCCGGCACGACTTCCCCTTCTCACATCCTCCTGCCCCGGTAGAGACACCACACCATCACCACACTACACCATCACCGCAAAACACCATCACATTACCACCACACTGCAGCATCACGCTGTACCACCACTCCCGTGACCACAGCGGCACCACCTGTGCGCGGCGCAGGCTGGGTGCGCTTTGTGGAGCGACTGCACGGGGAGGCGGTGACTCCCTACCTGAGCCGCGTTCGCTCGGCGCAGCAGGTGATGGGAGCCCTGCTCAAGGAGAGGTTTGCTCAGCGGCAGGTGAGGGCGTCGCGCGACACTCAGCCGCTCACTCACTCGCCCGCTCACCCGCTCGCTCACCCCGCTCACTCGCTCGCCCGCTCGCTCACCCACTCAAACGCTTGCTTACATACCCATCCACTCACCGGCTCACTCGCTTACATACTCACCCGCTCGCGCACAAACTCGTGCGCTCGCTTACATGATCATACACTCACCCACTCACTCGGAAACATACTCACCCGCTCACTCGCTCACCTTGTTCACCCACTCACCCACTCGCTTACATACTCACCCACTCACACGCTCACACACTCACCTTGCTCACACACTCACCCCCACTTACTATATCACTCAGCCACTGTATCACTCATGAAGCCACTCACTCTTTAAAAAATATATTTGGAAAATCACTCAACCACTAAATCACTCATACTCTCTCTTAACTATAACACTCACTTAACCAACCACCAATACACTCATTGTGTCAATTAACCACCATCTCAGCCACTCACCTGTTCACTCACTATATCACTCACTTAATTACGTATTTGCCTCTTAGCTCCATCTAAACCAATTTCTCAACCACGTAACCATTCAATTAACCATTCTCCCACTTGCTCATTCGCTCACTCACCCCTCAATCACTCACTTGCTCAACCCAATTCATTCAACGTCTCATACACACACATTCACTCTTTCCCCATTCACCCACCCACCAGCCCACCCCCATTCCCTCACTATATAGTGTGTGTGGGGGTAGAACCCGGTGACCCGAGTTCGATTCTGCTCACGACCAACACCAGTGATGACTGTGAACCATTCCTGGGCCTCCCCATAGGTCGACTCAGCCTCAAATGAGTGCATAGTGTGGTGTGTAAACATCGCCACTGGGGGGGAGACAGGGACGTGGTGCTGGCCACCCACCCCCTCGTGTTCCGTGCCGGCCTTCATAGGTGCCTGCTTTAACAGCACTTGCCCCAACAGTCTGTTAAGGCTACACGGGGGATCTTTGTCTTTGCGGTGCAGGGAGTCGGACCCGAGGAGCTGTTCCACGTCACGGTGATGCCGTGCTACGACAGGAAGCTGGAGGCCACTCGGCCAGAGTTCCGGCACGCGACTGTGGAGACACCACACGTGGACTGCGTCCTCACCACCGGTAACACTCCCCATGCGCTGTGCCGCCTTAATAGGTGCTCACTAAAACCACTTGCCCGCACAGTCTGTTGAGGGCTACGTGAGAGAGTTTAGTGTTTTTATCTGTGAATGTGTCTGTGTGTGTCTTTAACTCAGGTGAGCTGGTTTCCATGCTGGATGCAGAAGGGAAGTCACTGGCGGAGGTAGAGCCAGGTGCCCTGGATACTCTGTGAGGACAGCCAGCTCTCACCCACTCGCTCACCCAGCCGCTCGCTCCTCAACTCGCTCACCCAGCTACTCGCTCCCCCAATTGCTCGCCCAGCCACTCGCTCGCCCACTCGCTCACCCACTCGCTCACCCACTCGCTCGCCAACTCACTCACCCAGCCACTCGCTCACCCAGCCACTCGCTCCCCCACTCGCTCAACCTTTACCTATTGACTCATTTACACACACTCAACCACGCACACACCCACACCACAATCACTTCCTCATTAATATTCTCACTCAATTACTCACCCACCACTGAACCTTTTACTGACCCACGCCCCCACCCCACTCATGAAATCACTCTCTCGTTATTTTTTTATTATTCATTATCCTGCTTGTTTACCCAGGAAAGCCTCGCCGAGTCCCATGACTCTTTTTCAGGAGGGTCCTGCCAAATTTTTGCAGTAGGGGCCAATGATTGCTGCTGCTGTGTGATTTTCATCGGTGCTGTTGTTGCTGGTTGGGGCCGACTGAGTGCCTGTGTGCATTGTCTTGTGCGTGTGTTAAGGTTTGGGGAACGGTGGTGTAGTGGTTAGTGCTACGCTGCGCTACGAACCTGGCGCCCCGAGTTCGATTCCCGCTCACGACCAACACCAGTGACGATTATCTGAACCATTCCTAGACACCACGCAATGAGTACATGGCGCGGTGTGTAAACATCGCCACTGCAGAGATAAAGGCGGTTGGGCGTGGTGTTGGCCACCTCGTGTGCCGTGCCGGCCTTCATAAGTGCTACTCGCTAACAGCACTTGCCCCTATAGTCTGCTAAGGCTATAATGGGGGGGGGAATCTTTGTCTTTAAGGTTCGGGGAGGAGGGTGCAGAGGGCCCTGCACAGGAGCGGCTGTGGGGGCCTGGGCGGCCAGGAGGCCCTGATGGCGCCGTGGGCTGCTACCTGGAGGCCGTGCTGAGGCACGCAGCGCACGAGCTCTTCGGGGTCGACGTGAGAGAGGTGACCTACAGCACGCTGCGGTGAGTGAGCGCTAGCGGTGCCGTGGGTCGTGCTGTGGGTGCCGCGAGTGCCGTGAGTGGTGCCATGGGTGCCGTGGACGTCGTGGGCGGTGCCGAGGATGGTGCCGAGGGTGGTGCCGAGGGTGGTGCCGAGGGTGGTGCCGTGGGTGGTGCCGTGGGTGGTGCCGAGGGTGGTGCCGTGGGCGGTGCCGAGGGTGGTGCCGTGGGTGGTGCCGTGGGTGGTGCCGTGGGTGGTGCCGAGGGTGGTGCCGAGGGTGGTGCCGTGGGTGGTGCCGTGGGCGAGAGTGCGAGGGCAAGTGTTTGTGCGACAGCGACGTCGCAAGGTTGTGTGGTGTGAATGTTGGGTACGTGTGGAGCTGGGCGGTGGTAGCTATGCACGGGGTGCTGAGATTACCTCGCCTGGTATGCAGGAGTATGTTTGTGTGTCTGTTGAACTTCTTTCGCACCGTATGTAGCCAACCGTGCGAATCGGAGGTGTGGGGGAAGGACAATTAAACACAAAAATAAGTTTTAAAGAAATAAGTTATATTTCTCTAAATATACAGAAGACCCCCCCTTACACCTTCTGTATATTTAGAGTTTGCATGTCTCTTCCCGTGGTCACGTGGATTTTTCTCCAGGCCCCCCGGTTTTTCCCTCCACGTTTATGCCGGTTGTAATTACCGGCGAAACGTCACGATACTCGAATTGTAAATATTGTGGGATATTGTGGGTTTACTCTCCAACACACCGGTGTGCTGAACTAGTAACGAATTGGCACGTTTTGTTTACGTGAAAAACCCTTACCAGTTATAATAGGGTTTTTCCCCTTTTTTTCTGGCAACAAAACTGACACCTTTTGCAAGGAATCATGTTTACATTAACCACAATACTTGCAGTCAAATGCAAACAAAAAACAATACTCTGGTAATTTATGCATTGTCTTTGAAATTGATTGGTCCACACCAGAGACAGCTTTCTTTGGAGCCTCGTCTCATATGGTGTTCGACCAGATGACGCCAAAAGGCGCACAGTTCAAGACAACGCACTATCAGAGGAATGAGGGCTCGGGGTGAGCAGCTACATCATGGGACCTCTTTTTCCACTACCAAAACAGACTAATAGGGTTTTTCCCCTTTTTTTCTGGCAACAAAACTGACACCTTTTGCAAGGAATCATGTTTACATTAACCACAATACTTGCAGTCAAATGCAAACAAAAAACAATACTCTGGTAATTTATGCATTGTCTTTGAAACTGATTGGTCCACACCATAAATTACCAGAGTATTGTTTTTTGTTTGCATTTGACTGCAAGTATTGTGGTTAATGTAAACATGATTCCTTGCAAAAGGTGTCAGTTTTGTTGCCAGAAAAAAAGGGAAAAACCCTATTAGTATATTTTGGTACAGGCAAAAGAGGTCCCATGATGTACCCTTACCAGTTGGCTGTGTCGGGGTGTTGGCGGGTTTAACGACATATTTACGCGATCCAACCCCCCCAAAAAAAAACCTCTATCATGGTTGTTAGAGTACTGCTACCACCACTACGCTAGTCGAGCCCCTCCCGTGCCGTGTCGCGCAGCAACAAGGACATGTGGGAGGCGCGCGTGGAACGGGACGGCGAGGTGTTGCTGCGCTTCGCCGGCGCGTGCGGCCTGCGCAACGTGCAGAACGTCGTGGCCAAGCTGCGCCGCGGCCGCCTGCCGTACCACTTCGTGGAGATCTCCGCATGCCCCTCCGGTGAGTCTTGGAGGGTGTCACTTCGTCAGCCGTGATGAATCCGCTGCTGGATGAAGGCCTTCCCCACCTCCACCAAGCTGTAATTTTCACCGTCGTTAATTTGAACATCGGGCGAGAAGACGCTGCCGTGTCCTGCCAGGCCGCAGTGCGATTGGGAGCCTGAGCAGCTGTTTGGAAAGGGTGCTTACGATTCCCCGGTGTCTCAAAGCCGCCGAATAGTAAACCTTTCTGGATCCCAGTGCCCCTCGACACTTTCAAACTAAACCATTTTTATTTTTAAATCCTTTATATTAAGTTCACTTGCTTGCTTGCGCGCTTACGACCGTGCAAATCTTTCGGTCGTTTTTTAACCCACTTCCCGTGATCCAATCGAGCTGACATTTTGCACACAGACTCGTTGTGCGTGACAATTTATTTTCGTGAAAATTTTTTTCCAAAATTTTGCACTTTTTAGGAAATTTTTGTTTCATATTTAATTTAAAATACCAATGTGATAAAAATGAAACTCTTACTCAAGAAAAACAGAAATGAATAATAAAATAAAACCGATGCCACGCATATAAAGGATTTATAATGAAAAACTTTGTTTTTACGGGTACATTTTTATTTTACCAGGTAAGGCCCACTGAGCTATATAGCTATTTTTCAGAAGCGACCTGGCTTTCACAAATGATAGCCCGATGAAGTGGCTTATGTGGAATTTTATAGCAGCCAAAAACCGGAGGACCCAGAGAAAAATCCACGCGACCACAGGGAAAACACGCAAACTCTAAATATGCAGCAGGCGTCAGGGTCGGGATTGAACCCATACCCTCCTGTAATACCAGGCGAGGTAATTAACATCTCGCCATTATGGCGCTCAACATCCAGGGAAGACGTCTACAATCAGGGCTGCAGAGCACAAGCTCAAAAGCCCAAAACGCCAAGCGGCCAGAAATAAGTGGCACCAAATAAAGTTGATAGATTAGAATTACGGCGTTTATTTAATCGGGCGAGGTTTTTCAGTACTCGGAAAGAGAGACGGTGGAGCAGCGTGACACTCGGGACTGGTTTTGTCTCGCCAGGCTGCCTGAATGGACCGGGTCAGCCCAGCGATCAGGCCGGCGGTCAAGCCGGCGGTCAAGCCGGCAGTCAGCCCAGCGGTCAAGCCGGCCGTGGCGACCTGGCCGCGGCACAGGAAGCGTACCGCGCCGCCACTCCTCGTGACCCCCCTGACCTCCGGGAGGTCAACTCTGATTGGCTGGGAGAGGCCGACTCGGGGAGAGCTCTGAGAGAGCTGGTCACCACCACTTTCCAGACGCGCGCGACGGGGGACAGGGAGCAGGGCCACCAGTGGTGACGGGGGTCGAGGTAGGGGATGACGCACACTCGTGTAAAAAAGGCAGAGGTGCAACTCTGTAATTTCTCGGTTGCACCACTGCTGTAGCGGGAGGGGCCCCCTCCCACCAGAGGGAGCTCTGCGCTGGCTCAGACGTCTTGGAATAAGTAAGTAGGAGTACTCGCGTATCATGCCCCCGCTGCCGATCGACTAACTATGGGTGTGCCCATTCGTACTGCCGGGCTCTGACGGTGGTGGTGGTGTGGGGGGGGGGGCGGGGATATTCACAAAACTTGCGCCGTCGTTTCAACTGCCGAGCTTGGGGGATCGAAACCGAACCGACCTCTGAACCGGTGACCTCTGAAGTCAGGTGACCCCCCCCTAAACCGCCACGCCACAGTGGCAGCTCGTATGACGTACGTGTTCGTTAATAAAGCATGCACTGATTGGAGCTTGTGCCGGTGAAATGTTTTGCACTATTTAACTATAAACTATTTTATTTTACCAAGTAAGGCCCGCTTAGCTGTATAGCTTTTTGTTCAGAAACGACCTGGCTGTCACAAGTGATGGCTCTCAACGAAGTGGCTTATCACGTGGCAATTTATAGCAGTAGCCAATTACTCTAAACGCGTGACATCGATTTTAAATGTGGAGGGAAAAACCTGGAGAAAAATCCACGCGACCCTCGGCCTGGCGAGGCCACCGTGGGGGTCCCGGGCCGAGCACACTCGCCACTTTGCAAACTGGTGGTCGTGCGAACTTGGTATCTTTTCGATTTAAAGCTTTCGTGACTGCAGGGATTCATCTTCTTGGTTCTTTCGGTAAAGTCACGTAGAAGGGAAATAATAAAATAAAACATAATAAAATACAATTCTCACGACGTTTCGGCCACAATGCAAGCAGCCGTCCTCGGGTGAAGAACAGGTCTGTCGGATAGACAGCGTCTGAATGACGCTGTCTTCCCGACAGACCTGTTCTTCTGAATGACGCTGTCTTTCCGATAGACCTGTTCTTCACCTGAGGACGGCTGCTTGCGTTGTGGCCGAAACGTCGTGAGAATTATTTTATTATGTTTTTATTATGTTTTATTTTTATTTTATTATTTCCCTTCTACGTGACTTTACCGAAAGAACCAAGAAGATGCTTGGTATCTTTGTCAAGGGGAAAGCCTCGGGGTTTGAACGCGACGGCCAGCGGAGTACACCGCCGGTACCTTAGCCCGAAGCTACCAAACTTCTCCCGGGTTTGGAGCGAGACGGTCCCGTTGGTACAAGAAAGTTCTCTTCCAACCCCGGTGTCTCCGGTCACGATTGAAAACATCAGGATTTCACCCCCCGGTTTAAATATTCCAACCGCATGCTTCACTCGTGCGGGAGTAATGGTGGGAATTCCCGAGTAGTGGGGTGGAGTCATAGTTCCGAAAGTGCCAGGAGGCAACTTGCTGTGTGCGGCATGGTTATGTAAAAGTGGGCAGTCGGCACGAAGGGAGGGGTATCCAACTCGCCGTGTGGGGCATCGTGGTGGCAAAATGTGAACTCCCTCGCCCGGTATGCAGAACGTCGTGGGTTCAATCCCGACCCTGACGCCTGCTGTTTATTTGGAGTTTGCGTGTTCTCCCCGTTGTCGTGCGCATTTTTCTCCGGGTTCCCTGGTCTATCCCTCCACATTTAGAAACATGCGTTTAGATTTTTCACCTGCTCATTGGGGCCTTGCCTGATACAGATTTTATAAAATAGTGAATGTGTCCCGGTTGAGTCCCCAGAAAGCAGAGGTCGCAATCGCGTACCCGATGCCCGTACCCTACCCGATACCCGGCTACCCGTACCCGGCCGGGTACGGGTACCCGTTTGCGACCCTGGTGCGGCCGGGTAAGGCTAAGGAATCAAAACACGTTTGCGACCTCTGCCAGAAAGTAGCTTTGTTTCGCTGCCCTGACAGCAACCAAACACAGGCATCGAAGCGGAGGCACCGAGTTCTTGCAAGAGCAGTTTATTGTCGACTGGCTTTTTTGCCCGTCCAAGGACGGGTGTATATTGCAGTAAATCTGAAATATTCAATAGAAAAATTGTTCAGCTCATGATTATTAATGAGGGGGAGGGGGGGGTTGCCACATGTGGAGTGACGTCACCCGCTATTGGTTAATGTAGAGGGGTACAGCATGTGGAGTGACGTCACCCCCTCATGCTTATTAATGAGGGGAGCAGCATGTGGAGTGACATCACCCGCTCATGGTTATTAATAAAGGGAGGGGAGCAGCATGTGGAGTGCGCGACCTTGTGCGTTAGTGTAACTTTCCACGAGGGCATGAATATTAATGAGGTGGGGGGGGGGTGGCCTCTTTTGCAGTGACGTCACGCACGGATGTAGCTGTGCGGCTGCATAGATTTTTTTACCGTCACTTTTTGTCAAGAAACGTCGTTTGAAGCGGCTTTGTGTAATAAATTATTTAATTCAGCTCGCCCTTCCTCTGCGTTAGTGTAAAAATCATACCCACTCATGAGTATTAATGAGCGGGGGTGGGCCTCATGTGGAGTGACATTTCTGGGTGATTATAGTAGGTAATTGCGAGTGGCGCTGGGGCAGGTGGCGCCGTTGCCCCCGCCGCAGCCGCGGCGGCGCTAGCAGCCGACCTCCCGCGCCGGTGCGCAGTAGCTGATCTGCACGCGCCCGGACTCGTTCCACGGCGCCACGAAGCCCTCGAGAGACACCGGCTGCACCAGGAACTCGAGCAGAGCCTCTCCGGGGCCCACCTGGGACGGCAGCAGCAGCTCGTGCACACGGTACACGCTGGTGAACGCCTCGCCCAGCAGTGCTGGCTCGGCCGTTCCTTCGTCGAGAGTGGCGGTGGCGGTGGCAGTAGCGGCGGCGGCGGCTTCACCGTGAGCTGTCGGCAGGGTTCTCCAGGAGACGCGGAAGCGCGCGAGGCGGAGCGACGGGTAGTCCCAGCGCAGCGTGGCGCTGAGCAGGAGGGAGGCCGGGGCGGCGCCGCTCGTCCAGGTCACGTCCCACAGCCCCACGTCGCCAAACGGCTCCCAGCCCCGCGCCAGCGCGCTCGCGTCGAACATCTGCCGACGGGCAGCACAGGCAGCACAGGCAGCACTGGCTGTCAAACCTCCCACACCTCCGCCGTCGTTGAAATCCGATCGACACGTCTCCCCCACGGTCACGCGAAGCCAACCCGGGGCTTAAGTGAATATTCTCCCGGGTCCGCCATTCAACCGGGGTAGGTGGCATGTTGCGCGTAGCCAAAGCCACGGCGAGAGAGATTATCCTCCGTGTGGTGTGGCCCGCGCCTCGCGATATGTTATCCATCGCCGCTGGCACCTTAGCCAGACTAATCGGGCACGAGATGGGGTCAATATTTCGTGCGCTCTATATACTAAAACCTTTTATTTGACCAGGTAAGCCGCAGTGAGCTATAACGGTATTTTTCAGAAGCAACCTGGCCACATTATAGCTCAACGAAGGCTTATTCACGTGGAAATTTAGAGCAGACAAATACTCTAAATGCACGTTTCTAAATGTACAAGGGAAAAACCAGGAGAAAAATCCACACAACCACGGGGAGCACACTCAAAACTCCAAATATACAGCAGGAGTCAGGGTCGGGATCGAACCCACTACCTCCTGCATACCAGGCGAGGCAGTTAACATCTCCTCGCCACCGTGGCGCCCTCGGTCGCTGCGAGGGCAACGAGTCTAACGCTTCAAGCGTGAACAAGGCTCGTGGTGAACAAGGCTTGTGGTGAGCGAGGGAAAGTCCGCGGGCACCTGCAGGAGGCCCAGGTGGCACTGGAAGGACACGGGGCCCGACACGCCGGGGGCCTTCTCCACCGTGACGAACACATCCTGCAGCATGCAGTCACGCAGCTCCAGCAGGTAGCACCTGCACGCGCGCACACACAACGCAAACGGCCCCCCGCTCACCGATAGCCTTAAGCGACTGCTGTTAGCGAGTAGCAGCACCTATGAAGGCCGGGCACGGCGCACGAGGGGATAGGTGGGTGGTGGCCTGCACCACGCCCAGCTGACTTTGTTTATCTAATGGCGATGTTTACACATGGCATCATTTGAGGCTGAGTCGACCTCGGGGAAGGCCCAGGTTTGGTTCAGATTATCGTGACTGGTGTTGGCCGTCAGCGGGAATTGAACTCGGGCCAACCGGGTTCGTAGCGCAGGGCGCGAACCACTACACGACAGCTCCCCACCTGCACACGCATGCACACGCATGGGGAAAAGAGTGGGTTTACAACTGCGTGGGTCTACACGTGTGTGATTCTACACGTGTGCGAGTCTGAGAGTCCACAAGTGTTTGTCCATGTGAGCTTATGCGTGTGAGTTTATATGTGTGTGAATCTATACTTGTGTGTGTGAGCAGCGGTGGTGCAGTGGATAGCACACTGTACGCTACAAACCAGCCGACCCAGGTTCGATTCCCATCCACAGCCAAAAGTGACGAATACGTGGCATCCCCTAGGTCGACTCAGCCTAAATGAGTACCTCGTCAGCACTGGGAAGACAAAGGCAGCCATGCGTGGTGCTGGCCACACAACCGACTCATGCACCGGGTCCTTCACAGGTGCTCGCTAACAGCACTTGCCCCGACAGTATAACTCAGGGGGATTGTTTTCTTCTTCTCCGTGAGTGTGTACACCGAGTAGTAGCGTAGCGGTTAGCCCGCTGCGCTACGCACCTGGTGACCAGAGTTCGATTCCCACTCACGAATATGTGAACTGGTCCTGGGTCTCCCCTAGGTCGACTCAGCCTCAAATGAGTACCTGGTGCGGTGTGTAAATATCGCCACTGGGGAGACAAAGGCGGCCGCGCTGTTCCGGCCTTCATAGGTGCTCGCTAACAGCACTTGCCCCAACAGTCTGTCAAGGCTACACGGGGATCTTTGTATCTTTGTTGCGAGTCAGACCTTTGAGTCCAGCTCTGGGGGGGCAGCCCCCCACACTGCTGCCTCAGCCGACACGAGACCGCGTCGCCAACCGGCAGAGCGGTCGGGCGGTGCGTGGTGACCGGTGCTGCACACACACGCACACACACGCGCTCACACACGCACGCACACACGCACACACGCACACACGCACACACGCACGCACACGCACGCACACACACACACGCACACACACGCACACACACACGCACACACATGCATGTTACAGTTTTACACATACAGACAAAGATCTCCCTTGGAGCCTTGACTGTTGGGGCAATGGCCGTGGCAGTCCACACTGACATACACACGTGCGTATCTTCTTGGTTCTTTCGGTAAAGTCACGTATACTTAAATTAACCTTGGCTGCACACACGTACACGTACGCACTTGATAGTCACAGGTCCACGTGATCGCACACATGGGCGTGTGTATATGCGTGCGCGTCAGTACATGTGGCGAGCGGTAGTGTAGCGGTCAGCGCGCTGCGCTACGAACCCGGGGACCCGAGTTCGATTCCTGCTCATGACCAACACCAGCGATGTTGGTCATGGGCCTCCCCTAGGTCGACTCAGCCTCAAATGAGTACCTTGTGCGATGTGCAAACATCATTTGTGCGTCAGTCAATTCAAGTTGGTCAAACCATGGAACCTGGGGCCTCCCGCCAGCGAGGCCCTCGACACTTGACGTGGCAGCCTCGTGGTGCACCTAGCCTGGCACAAGCGCCGTGGTGGTGCGTGCGTCACCGTGCAGCACGGACACGTTGCTGAACGTGCACTTGGTGCTGTCCATGGTGGTGAGCTCGAGGCCCAGCCTCACCGGGTCCCCCGCCGCACCCCCCCCAGCCTCTCCGCTGCTGCTCCCCCCAACTCGGTACACGTAGGAGAGCAGCAGAGTGGGCGGAGCATGCACCATCACGCTCAGCAGCCTGTTGGGGGGGGGGGGGGAGTCACAGGGGTGGAGTGGGGGGGTCACAGGGGTGGAGTGGGGGGAGTGGCGGTCACGGTGATGTCGTCAAGGAGAATAAAGCGGCGCACCGGCTCCGGTCATCCTCGCAGCGGCGGATTTTGGCGAGCGTCGAACATCAACGGTCAAGCGCATCGTGCGCTTTCAGGGGCTCTTCTGCGAAACGTTCTGCTTGACATATTCCCATATTAGGAAGCTCACCCCTTCCGGCGTCTCTCCCCGAGCCTCCCCCCCCCCCCATGTCTCACCGCACGGCGAGCCGGGCCTTGTCAGGAGCAAGCAACCCTTGCACCAGCAGGCAGCCGCCCCCCTCGAACGCCACGTCCGTCACGCTGCGCACGTACACGTGGCTCTCCAGCGCGGGCGCCACCGCGGCAACCCCGGGAGCGCCCTCGGGAGCGCCCTCGGGGTTGAAGTGTCTGGTGTCCGTGTAGATCGGCTGCAGGTTCTGGGCGCTCAGGTTGTGCCACGGCCCCGCCCGGCACACCTGGGGGGGGTGGGGGCGACAACGACCGAGACGCGCAAGGTCCAGTCTCAAGCCGGTCTCGCTTCGTCCAGGCGGGAGCGAATCTCACACGTGGCGAGCGGATGTCGTCCTTCTCCCGCACCTCCGATTAGCCACGGTTGGCTACGTACGGTGCCAAAGAAGTTCAAGGTACGCACGTGCATACAGGTAACCAGGGTCACCAGCCACATCGAGAACATCTTCCAATCGCATCTAACCGCCCACGTTATCAATCACACCGTCACACCACCGACCACCCCCGACAGCCGCAACATCAACGTGTTCCATCTGTTTATCACACAGCGTTCCCCCCCCCCCTCGCACGAGTGGGTTTCCTCCAGGTGCTCCGGTTTCCTGCCGCGTGTAGAAACACTCACTAATCGGCCGACAACAACTTCACATTTAGAGGGGCCGCAGAGCTTGGCCGATTGCTGGTAGCGCCGGCTCGGCGCATGGCTCCTGCTGCCGCCGCCACCTTCCCGTTTGTTTGTGGTACCTACTCCACGCTCCTCCGAGCGAGCGAGCGGACCACTGTGCCACAGCGTTGCAAGTCGAATATTGTTATCAACGATATTATTATTATCAACAAGCTATCAACCCCCACCACACCACGAACCACACACGAGTTACCACCAGCTGTACCCCACCCCCAGTGCCCCCCCCCACCCCGTGCCCACCCCCCCACCCCGTGCCCACCTTCCCACCCCGTGCCCACCCCCCCACCCCGTGCCCACCCCCCCACCCCGTGCCCACCCCCCCACCCCGTGTCCCCCCGACCCCACCGTGCCGCGCCGGTAGAGGTTGCGTCCCTGCCCCCGGCAGAAGCTGGTGGCGATGGGGAGGGTGGAGACGCTGTGTGGGTTTGTGTGCTCCACCATGACGCTCCAGAACCTGCCACGCGCACACACACGCACACATGCATGAGATGCAGACACACACGAGATGCAGACACACACGCATATACAAAGACAAATATCCCCTGTATAGCCTTGAACAGAATGTTGGGGCAAGTGCTGTTAGCGAGCAGCACCTATGGAGGCTGGTACGAGGAGGTGGGTGGCCAACGCCATGTCTGGCCGCCTCTGTCTCCCTAGCGGAAATGTTTGAACATCGCACCAGGTACTTATTTGAGGCCGAGTCGACCCACAGATACACGCACAGATCTGTGTGATCCATCAACCTTTGCTTCAACGAAGCTGGATCACAGGTGGACACCACGCACCTGGCTCCGTGTCTTTCCATGTCTCTCCGTGGCCCCTCGTGTCTCCTTGCCCCCCCCCCCCCCGTGTCTCCGTGCCTCGTCACCCCCATGGTGCTCTTCGTGGTGAAACCCTGGCCGCTTGTGTCTCCACCGCATTCCCCTCTCATTGTCAACGTCCCCACTGTCTGCCTGTGTCGCCTGGTCCCTTGTCTCCCCGCGCGTCTCCCCGCGCGTCTCCCCGCGTGTCTCCCCACGTATCTCCACGCGTGTCTCCCCGTGTCTCACCCCGTGTGTCTCTCCGTGTGTCTCCCCGTGTCTCACCCCGTGTGTCTCTCCGTGTGTCTCCCCGTGTCTCACCACGTGTCTCCCCGTGTGTCTCCCCGCGTGTCTCTCCGCGTGTCTCCCCGCGTGTCTCTCCGCGTGTCTCCCCGCGTGTCTCCCCGCGTGTCTCCCCGCGTATCTCCACGCGTGTCTCCCCGTGTCTCACCCCGTGTGTCTCTCCGTGTGTCTCCCCGTGTCTCACCACGTGTCTCCCCGCGTGTCTCTCCGCGTGTCTCCCCGTGTGTCTCTCCCCGTGTGACTCCCCGCGTGACTCCCCGCGTGTCTCCCCGTGCGTCTCCCCGCGTGTCTCCCCACGTCCCCGTGTCTCCACACCGGTGCTGGTGGTTGTGAAAGTCTGGGCGCTCGTGTCTCTCGTAGACCCAGCCCGGGGCGAAGATGGCAGCGGAGAGACGCAGATTCCAGATCTCCTGCATGGACTGAGAACATCATCGTCATCATCATCACTACCATCATCATCAACATCATGCAGGGTGTTCGCGCAGCTGACCGCTACAGGGTATAAGTTCAATTCTCGACTCGGGTGTATTTCTTTGTGGAGTTTGTGTGTTCTCCCCCTGTTCTGCACGGGTTCCCTCTGGGTTCTCCAGTTTCCTCCAATGTATAACAAACACAAGATGTAACTGGGTCGACTCAGCCCCAAATGAGTACCTTATGCGATGTACCTGGTGCGATTGAGACAAAGGCGGCTGGGCGTGGTGTTGGCCACCCATCCCCTCGTGTGTCATGCCGGCCTTCATAGGTGCTCGCTAACAGCACTTTTGTGTGTGTGTCTCTATGTGTGTCTCTATGTGTGTCTGCGTGTATGAGGAGCGGTAGTGTAGCGGTTAGCGCGCTGCGCTACGAACCTGACGACCCGAGTTCGATTCCCGCTTACGGCCAACTCTAGTGACGGATTATCTGAACCGGGTCCTGGGCCTCCCCTAGGTCGACTCAGCCTCAAATGAGTACCTGGTGCGGTGTGTAAACATCGCCACAAGGGAGACAAAGGCGGCCGGGCGCGGTGTTGGCCACCAACCCCCTCGTGTGCCGTGCCGGCCTTCATAGATGCTCGCTAACAGCACTTGTATCTGCGTGCGCATCTGCGTGCGCGTCTGCGTGTGTCTGCGTGCGTGTCTGCGTGCGCGTCTGTGTGTGCGTGTCTGCGTGCGTGTCTGCGTGCGTGTCTGTGTGCGTGTCTGTGTGCGTGTCTGTGTGTGCGCGTCTGTGTGCGTCTGTGTGCGTGCGGTCACTATTCTGGCGGCGTAGCCCTCGCGCCCGGGCAGCCCCCGGCCGAACACGTCGACCCCGGCGTAGACATCGGCGCGCCGCGACCCGGCGAGCTCAGCGCTGCGGCCCAGCCCCTCGGAGGTCCAGGCGTAGTTGAGGAAGATCCCGTCGCTCGCGTCGAAGAATGGCCTGGGGAGCCGGGGGCGGGGGGGAGGTGGTGGCAGGGGGGTGCGGATAGAGGGTAATCAGAGGGGCTACGTACGGTGCGAAGGAAGTTCAACGTACGTGCAGGTGCTGTTAGCGAGCGGCACCTACGAAGGATCGGCACGGCACGCGAGGCGGTGGGTGGCCAGCAGCACCACGCCCGGCGGCCTTTGCCTCCCCAGTGGCGACATTTACTGAACACCACGCCAGGTGCTCGGAATCTTCATTTAGAATCAGAATCTTAATTTAGACTGTAGGAGGAATTGCTCCTTGTCACAGATGTCCAGTAGGGGCACAGGGGGTCAGCAAAATGGGTCAGCAAGTTACAACCACAAACAATACAGAATCAGAATCTTTATGTCGACTGGAGGAATCAGATTCTTGCATTCTAGATTTTAAGCTTTCGTGACTGCAAGGATTCATACTCTTAGGTTTAAGACTTTACCGACAAAACCTAAGAGTACAGATTCTTGCAGTCTCAATTGCTGCTGCGGGCACACGACCCGAACTAGGCCAACCCTGTGTGTGTGTGTCTCAGATGTCGCAAACGGGTTTTGATTCCTTACCCGTACCCGGCCGCACCAGGGTCGCAAATGGGTACCCGTACCCATACCCGCACCCGGCCGGGTACGGGTAGCCGTTCCCTACCCGTACCCGTACCCGAAATGAGTGACAAACGGCTACTCACCAGTGACTCACGGCCTACCCGTACCCGGCCGCACCAGGGTCGCAAACGGCTACCCGTACCCGGCCGGGTACGGGTAGCCGGGCATCGGGTAGGGTACGGGTATCGGGTACCCGGTTGCGACCTCTAGTGTGTCTCGAGGAAGGGGTGTGAGCTAAACAGATAGAGGTGTGGCCTGATCAGGAAGGGGGCGGGGCCCAACGAGGAAGCAGGCGGGGCCTAGTGAGGTTGACTTTCCCTGTTGAGCTCAGGTCACGGGCGCGTAGAATCAAACACGGGCAGCAGCAGCAGCAGCAGCAGCGTAGCATAGGCCTCGGCAAGGTAAAAGTTGAAAGATAAAAACAACGAGCCTACCTTTACCCTACCCTTTACCTTACCCTTTGGCATGTCGACACCTTTACCCTTTTACCCGGTAAAAAGGGTAATTTACCTTACCTTGCCGAGGCCTAGCGTAGCATTAGTGCCGCAGACGCCGCCACTGGCCAACGAGTTATGATTATTGCCGCTTCGCGCGTTCACATAGGAAAGCTTCGGAAACTCGTGACGCTTTTTCATGAGGGTCCTGCCAAGTTTGTCACCGTGGCGGGTATGGGGGGAGGCGATGATTGATTTGCACGGGTTACCCTCGGTCACGTGCGTCCTCACCACCGTGAACCCACATCCCCCGTATCCCCCTGCGTCCCCTTCTATGCCTCCGTCTGACCCCCACGTGCCCCCATCTCCCCACGTGCCCCCCGGCATGCCCCCCACGTTCCCACGTGCCCACCCCGCTTGTCCCACCCCTCCCCCCGTCATCTCACCGTTTTTTTTTCGTCTTCTCGACAGACCTGGTCTTCAACTGAGGACGGCTGCTTGCGTTGTGGCCGAAACGTCGTGAGAATTATTTTATTATGTTTTATTTTTATTATTGTATTATTTCCATTCTACGTGACTTTACCGAAAGAACCAAGAAGATGAATCACCGGTTTTTGTCGTTGAGTTCGTTCTGCCAGTCCAGGCGGCCGCTCGCGACGACGCTGTCGTACCAGAGCACCATCGCTCGGGACGACACTGCGCGCAGGCGCTCCCGCAGGTAGCGCAGAAACCCCAGCAGCACCGGCACCTTCTCCGGCTAGACGAGGCGCGCCGGGTGACGCGCACACACACACACGCACGGCACGCGTGGCACCCTGAGGAATTCACACGCCCGGCGCCTGTTGCGTCGCCTGTTGAGATGCTGCCCGTTGTTGCCATTCCAATGGTGCTGCTCTGTGCAGTATCATTACTCGTACATCGCTTATAGGCAATAAGTAAATAATAAATAGCGGTTTGGAACGCATCCCCATTGGAACCATGTTATAGTGACCTCCTATAGCGCTGTTTCCTATAGCACTGTTGGTAACGCATCTCCATAGCAACCATGTTCAAGTGTTAAACTGACCTCCTATAGCGCTGTTGGTCACGTATCTCCATAGCAACCATGTTATAGTGACCTCCTATAGCGCTGTTTCCTATAGCACTGTTGGTAACGCATCTCCATAGCAACCATGTTATAGTGACCTATAGTGCTGTTTCCTATAGCGCTGTTGGTCACGTATCTCCATAGCAACCATGTTATAGTGACCTCCTATAGCGCTGTTTCCTATAGCACTGTTGGTAACGCATCTCCATAGCAACCATGTTAAAGTGTTAAACTGACCTATAGCGCTGTTTCCTATAGCGCTGTTGGTCACGTATCTTCATAGCAACCATGTTATAGTGACCTCCTATAGCGCTGTTTCGTAGAGCGCTCTGTTTACCAAGAACGCATCCTGAGCGCTATCGGAGCGTCGTCTCTATACAATAATGCTAATATGCCGTGTGGCGGCATGCCGCAGTGGGCCAAGGCGCGACGCGGCGACGGATGAACCCCGGAGGGGGGCGACGATGAGACGGGCGCGAGGGAGACGCGGCGATGGCTGCGGCGAGAGGTGGGGGAGACGACGGGGACGGGGGCGGGGGGGGGGGGTCGGGGCTGCTCACCTGGACGTTGTTCTCGATGTTGATGAACCATCCGTCGAGCTGGTAGAACGTGGAGATGCGCACCAGCTGATTGGCCAGGGCCCTCGCGGACTCGTCGCCCTGCAGGAAACGGTCGCACGCCTCCTCCCCGCCGCGCCACTCCGTGATGAACGTGCCTGGTCACTCGCACGGCGAGCGCAGAAAAAGACCCTCCGTAAAGCCTTTGACAGGCCGTTTAGGGCAAGTGCGGTTAGCGAGTGGAACCTACGAAGGCCGCCACGGCTCACGAGGGGGTGGGTGGCCGGCACCAAGCCCGGCCGCCTTTGCTGGGTGGGGGTGGGCAAGGTGCTGGTGGTGCGGTGGTGGTGGTGATGGAGCGGTGGTGCGGTGATGTGGTGATGAGGTGGTGGAGCGATAGTGCTGTGGTGGTGGTGGAGCGGTGGTGGAGGGGGTGGAGCGGTGGTGCTGGATGGTGGAGCGGTGGTGACGGTGCGGTGGTGGTGGCGGTGGTGGTGGAGCGGTGGTGGTGGTGGCGGCGGTGGTGGAGTGGTGGTGGTGCGTTGGTTGAGCGGTGGTTGAACGGTGGTGGTGGTGGTGGTGGTGGCGGTGGTGCGGTGGTGCCCCGCATACCCACCCAGGATGGGCACGGCGTGGCGGTGTGCCGCGTTCACCCAGCCCACGGGAGGCACCGTCACCGTGTGGTGGCTGAAGTAGATGAACAGGTCCACGTGGGCCCAGTGGTAGAACGAGTACGGCTCGTCTGAGCACACGCCCTGCACGAACCTGCACCACCACCACAACCATCACCTCAATCATCACAACCACCTCAATCACCACCATCACCTCAACCATCACAACCACCACCACAACCACCTCAACCACCACCATCACCTCAACCATCACAACCACAACCACCTCAATCACCACCATCACCTCAACCATCACAACCACCACCACAACCACCTCAACCACCACAACCACCTCAATCATCACCATCACCTCAACCATCACAACCACAACCACCTCAATCACCACCATCACCTCAACCATCACAACCACCACCACAACCACCTCAACCACCACAACCACCTCAATCATCACCATCACCTCAACCAACACAACCACCACAACTACCACAACCATCACAACCATCACAACCACCACAACTCCCGCCACAACCACCTCAACCACACAGAATGAGCACACGCCCTGCACGAACCTACACCACAAACACCACAAAACAACGAGCCTACTCCACACAGACACAGAACCATGACAAGAACCACAATTATCGTTCCGCTCGTTCACCCAGGGCTAATTCGAAGTTAACACTTCAGTGGGCTTTGCGTGGTTGTATGGGGAGGGTTTCATGTTCTTTTTGTTTGGGGTGATTTGTTTACCTTTCTTGGACTTTGCACTATTATCGTGTGTTTGTACCGTCTGTTGTTGTGGCGTTCTTACCCCGTGCCCCTACTGGAGATCTGTGATAAAGAGCTTTAGAGCTCATCTGATTTCTCCCGCAGGCTAAATAAAGATTCTGATTCTCAAAGCCTCGGCAAGGCCCTTTTTCAGGAGGGTCCTGCCAAGTCTCCGCAGTAGGGAGCGACGTTGCTATTACAACTAAAATATTAAACTATATTTTTATATTTTACCAGGTAAGGCCCCACTGAAGCGACGTGAACACAGATTATAGCTCAACGAAGTGGCTTATCTTCTTGGTTCTTTCGGTAAAGTCACGTAGAAGGGAAATAATAAAAGAATAAAAATAAAACATACTAAAATAATTCTCACGACGTTTAATTTTTATTATTTTATTATTTCCCTTCTACGTGACTTTACCGAAAGAACCAAGAAGATGAATCCCTGCAGTCACGAAAGCTTTAAATCGAAGTGGCTTATCATCATGTGGACATTCATCGCAGGCAAATACTCTAAACGCACGTTGATTCTAAATGTGGAGGGGAAAAACCAGCAGACCCAGAGAAAAATACACGCATCCACAGGGAGAACAACACGCTCCAAATACACAGCAGCAGGCGCCTGTGTCGGGATCGAACCTACGACCTCCTGCATACCAGGCGAGGGAGTTGACATCTCGCCAACGCTACGTGGGAACCCAATTGAGCGATTTGCAGATAATTTAATTTGGCCAATACCAGCGACATTGTGCGTTTGTGTGTTTGGCTACGAGAGGAAACCGGAAAATCCGGAGGAAGCCCATGTACAATAGATGGAGAACTCACAAACTCTACTACTCACTGTTACACAATGCAGAGCAGAGGGAGAACACACAAACTACACTCTATAGAACAGGGTGAGAACACACAAACTACACTCTATAGAACAGGGTGAGAACACACAGACTACACTATAGAACAGGGTGAAAACACACAAACTACACTCTATAGAACAGGGTGAGAACACACAAACTACACTCTATAGAACAGGGTGAGAACACACAAACTACACTCTATAGAACAGGGTGAGAACACACAAACTACACTCACTCTGCAGAACAGAAGACATAAACTACACTCACTCTGCAGAACAGTAGAACACACAAACTACACTCACTCTGCAGAACATTAGAACACACAAACTACACTCACTCTGCAGAACAGGAGAACACACAAACTCCACTCACTGCAGAACAGGAGAACACACAAACTACACTCACTCTGCAGAACAGAACACACAAACTCCACTCACTCTCACACACACTGCAGAACAGGGGGGTGGAGAGCGGCATACAAACTCCACTCTCTCACTCACTAACATCAACCGCAGCCCCCCCATCCCCTGGCGTGCGACCAGCATCACCTATCGTCCAGGTAGCCCCCCATCATGTCGTGGCACACGAGCGTGCGGGGCCCCCCAGGGTCCACTGTGGGGAAGCGGGGAGCGAGCGGCGCGATGGGCCGCCGGAAAGCGGCAGAGTCCGGGTCGCTCGTGGTCTCCGTCCACGCGAGGACCTCCTCCAGGCCGTCCAGGGGGGCGCACTGAGGCTCCAGGTTGCCTTGGGGGGCGGGGGGGGAGCACGAGAGAGAGACGCGGCACACGTCGTCAAGTATCGGCCTCCCGGCACGAGCCCGCGTTGTGTTGTTTTTTCTGTAAGATTTGCCGCTAAAAGAATATTGTGAAAATTCGGTCACAGTTCCTATGATCACTGTTTCATTGCTTTTATGGCTTTATTTTGGTGATTTTCGAAAAGTTTTTTTTGGTTTGGCCATGTTTGTTTGTTGTAGTAGTACAGAGTTAGACTGATGGCATTAATCTAAGTTGTCTTGTGGTTGTTGTTGTTGTTTGACTTGCATCCCACTGGGATTTTTGCACTCAGTGTTGGTGTACGGTGCTTTTTTCTGCAATATTTTGCTGTCTTTTCTTGGATTTTCTGTTTGCACTCGGTCACTATAAGATGTTTTCTTGTTTTTTGTTTGTTGCGGTTGCACCCGACTCAAGAGCCGCATGGCTCACAGGGTTATCTATCTATCGATATATAAAAGGGAAATTTGTGAATATGTGCGTCTGTTCAAAATGTTTAGCGTACTTCCCGACATGCAACAAACTTGAAATTTGCCATGTGGGTACTTTCCAGATTGTACACCATGCACAAATTATTAAAATACACTTTTTTTTAGGGGGGGGGGGGGGGGCACAATAATGCAGAGATTTTGCACGGCAAGTGAGCTGTGACGTCACATCTGTCATGTGACCCGCATGCAGAAGCGTCACGGAGTGTGGCTGCTGATGGCGGGTAAAGTGAAATACAAACGTGTTGCAGCTCTAAGGCGGTCTTCGCGCAGCGTTGCTGCTTTATTATTTAGTCGTTTACTGCCGTACGCACCCTGAAAGTTGTGTTGTGTGTCTGCAGCAAGCGCGTGTGTGTGTACCTATGGACGCGCGCACGTGTGTGTGGGTGGGGGGGAGTGGTGGTGTAGTGGTTAGTGTGCTGTCTGTGTGTGTCTGTCTGTGTGTGTCTGCGTCTGTCTGTGTGTCTGTCTGTGTGTGTGTGTCTGTGTGTTTGTGTGTCTGTCTGTGTGTGTGTCTGTGTGTGTGTGTGTGTCTGTCTGTGTGTGTGTCTGCGTCTGTCTGTGTGTGTGTCTGCGTCTGTCTGTGTGTGTCTGCGTCTGTCTGTGTGTCTGTGTGTGTCTGCGTGTGTGTCTGTCTGTGTGTTGTCTGTGTGTGTGTCTGTGTGTTTGTGTGTGTGCCTGTCTGTGTGTTTGTGTGTGTCTGTGTGTGTGTCTGTGTGGCTGTGTATGTGTCTGTCTGTGTGTCTGTCTGTGTGTCTGTGTGTCTGCGTGTGTCTGTGTCTGTCTGTGTGTTTGTGTGTGTGTCTGTCTGTGTGTTTGTGTGTGTGTCTGTGTGTGTGCCTGTCTGTGTGTGTGCCTGTCTGTGTGTGTGTCTGTGTGGCTGTGTATGTATCTGTCTGTGTGTCTGTCTGTGTGTCAGTGTGTGTGTGTGGGGGGAGCGGTGGTGCAGTGGTTAGCGCTGGGGTGGGGTGGGGTGTCACGAGGCATGTGCAGCACGCTGTACAGTAACTTGCTGGATCAGTACCGGTCGGGCCTGACGATGCTGCTGCTGCGGCGTCTCCCTCGCCCGGGACCCCTCTCCACGCGGGGTCCGCGGGGTCCCCGCTGGCCCCCTCAGACCCCGCCGTGACGGCGGCGGTGGTGGTGGTGGTCATGGTGGTGGTCGTGGTGGTGGTCATGGTGGTGGTGGTGGTGGTGCCGGTTGACTCCGCCATGGATCGCCGCTCTGCTCCACTCCAGCCGCTGTCCACTTCCGCCTTCTCCGCCCACTTCCAGATGTCACCCCCCCCCCCCCTCGTCACCCCCCCCCCCCCTCGTCACCCCCCTCGTCACCCCCCCCCGTCACCCCCCCCCGTCACCCCCCCCCGTCACCCCCCCCCGTCACCCCCCCCCGTCACCCCCCCCCGTCACCCCCCTCGTCACCCCCCACCCCCCCCCCTCGTCACCCCCACCCCCCTCGTCAACCCCACCCCCCTCGTCACCCCCCTCGTCACCCCCCTCGTCACCCCCCCCCGTCACCCCCCCCCCACCCCCCTCGTCACCCCCCACCCCCCCCCTCGTCACCCCCACCCCCTCGTCACCCCCACCCCCCTCGTCACCCCCCTCGTCACCCCCCTCGTCACCCCCCCCCACCACCCCCCTCGTCACCCCCCCCACCACCCCCCTCGTCACCCCCCTCGTCACCCCCCTCGTCACCCCCCCCACCACCTCCCTCGTCACCCCCAGGGTGACTCCACCCCCCTCGTCACCCCCCTCGTCACCCCCCACCCCCCTCGTCACCCCTCCCCCTCGTCACCCCCCCACCCCACCCCCCTCGTCACCGAACCACTCGCCACACCACGTGTCACACAACACTCACCCACTACTCACCAACCCGCTCACCGAACCACTCGCCACACCACGTGTCACACAACACTCACCCACTACTCACCAACCCGCTCACCGAACCACTCGCCACACCACGTGTCACACAACACTCACCCACTACTCACCAACCCGCTCACCGAACCACTCGCCACACCACGTGTCACACAACACTCACCCACTACTCACCAACCCGCTCACCGAACCACTCGCCACACCACGTGTCACACAACACTCACCCACTACTCACCAACCCGCTCACCGAACCACTCGCCACACCACGTGTCACACAACACTCACCCACTACTCACCAACCCGCTCACCGAACCACTCGCCACACCACGTGTCACACAACACTCACCCACTACTCACCAACCCGCTCACCGAACCACTCGCCACACCACGTGTCACACAACACTCACCCACTACTCACCAACCCGCTCACCGAACCACTCGCCACACCACGTGTCACACAACACTCACCCACTACTCACCAACCCGCTCACCGAACCACTCGCCACACCACGTGTCACACAACACTCACCCACTACTCACCAACCCGCTCACCGAACCACTCGCCACACCACGTGTCACACAACACTCACCCACTACTCACCAACCCGCTCACCGAACCACTCACCACACCACGTGTCACACAACACTCACCCACTACTCACCAACCCGCTCACCGAACCACTCGCCACACCACGTGTCACACAACAACACTCACCCACTACTCACCAACCCGCTCACCGAACCACTCGCCACACCACGTGTCACACAACACTCACCCACTACTCACCAACCCGCTCACCGAACCACTCACCACACCACGTGTCACACAACACTCACCCACTACTCACCAACCCGCTCACCGAACCACTCGCCACACCACGTGTCACACAACAACACTCACCCACTACTCACCAACCCGCTCACCGAACCACTCGCCACACCACGTGTCACACAACACTCACCCACTACTCACCAACCCGCTCACCGAACCACTCGCCACACCACGTGTCACACAACAACACTCACCCACTACTCACCAACCCGCTCACCGAACCACTCGCCACACCACGTGTCACACAACAACACTCACCCACTACTCACCAACTCGCTCACCGAACCACTCGCCACACCACGTGTCACACAACAACACTCACCCACTACTCACCAACCCGCTCACCGAACCACTCGCCACACCACGTGTCACACAACACTCACCCACTACTCACCAACCCGCTCACCGAACCACTCGCCACACCACGTGTCACACAACAACACTCACCCACTACTCACCAACCCGCTCACCGAACCACTCGCCACACCACGTGTCACACAACAACACTCACCCACTACTCACCAACCCGCTCACCGAACCACTCGCCACACCACGTGTCACACAACAACACTCACCCACTACTCACCAACCCGCTCACCGAACCACTCGCCACACCACGTGTCACACAACAACACTCACCCACTACTCACCAACCCGCTCACCGAACCACTCGCCACACCACGTGTCACACAACAACACTCACCCACTACTCACCAACCCGCTCACCGAACCACTCGCCACACCACGTGTCACACAACACTCACCCACTACTCACCAACCCGCTCACCGAACCACTCGCCACACACGTGTCACACAACAACACTCACCCACTACTCACCAACCCGCTCACCGAACCACTCGCCACACCACGTGTCACACAACAACACTCACCCACTACTCACCAACCCGCTCACCGAACCACTCGCCACACCACGTGTCACACAACAACACTCACCCACTACTCACCAACCCGCTCACCGAACCACTCGCCACACCACGTGTCACACAACAACACTCACCCACTACTCACCAACCCGCTCACCGAACCACTCGCCACACCACGTGTCACACAACACTCACCCACTACTCACCAACCCGCTCACCGAACCACTCGCCACACCACGTGTCACACAACAACACTCACCCACTACTCACCAACCCGCTCACCGAACCACTCGCCACACCACGTGTCACACAACACTCACCCACTACTCACCAACCCGCTCACCGAACCACTCGCCACACCACGTGTCACACAACACTCACCCACTACTCACCAACCCGCTCACCGAACCACTCGCCACACCACGTGTCACACAACACTCACCCACTACTCACCAACCCGCTCACCGAACCACTCGCCACACCACGTGTCACACAACACTCACCCACTACTCACCAACCCGCTCACCGAACCACTCGCCACACCACGTGTCACACAACACTCACCCACTACTCACCAACCCGCTCACCGAACCACTCGCCACACAGTCGGTCCACTCACTCCTCTCTCTCCCTCGCTGTGCCTCTTACATCCCAACTGCTCCACTACTGAATCTCCTCCACAACAACAACAACAAACAACAACAACAACAACCTGGTCTATTACACCCACGGTTCGTTGCTGCGTGTTGCTGGCCGCTTGGCGTGTTTGTTTTTGGGGCCACCTGCCGTAGACTGAGTTTAAACCATAAAGAGATGGCGGGTGAGGAGTTGGTGAGGAGGGATAGGGGGGGTGAGGAGAGTAAGGGGGGGGGGGGGTAAGGGGGGGTGATGAGAGTAAGGGGGGGTGAGGAGAGTAAGGGGGGGGGTAAGGGGGGGGTGATGAGAGTAAGGGGGGGTGAGGAGAGTAAGGGGGGGTAAGGGGGGGTGATGAGAGTAAGGGGGGGTGAGGAGGGATAGGGGGGGTGAGGAGAGTAAGGGGGGGAGTAAGGGGGGGTGAGGATGTAAGGGGGGGGTGAGGAGGGGGAGAGGGTGAGGAGAGTAAGGGGGGTGAGGGGAGGTAAGGGGGGGGGAGTAAGGGGGTGAGGAGAGTAAGGGGGGGGTGAGGAGGGGGGTGAGGGGAGGTAAGGGGGGTGAGGAGAGTAAGGGGGGGGAGTAAGGGGGGTGAGGAGAGTAAGGGGGGGGGTGACGAGGGGGTGAGGGGAGTAAGGGGGGGTGAGGGGGGGGTGAGGGGGAGTAATGGGGGGGGGGGGGTGAGGGGAGAGTAAGGGGGGTGAGGGGGGGGTGAGGAGAGTAAGGGGGGGGTGGTGCGGAGGGGGGTGAGGGGAGTAAGGGGGGGGGGTGGGAGAGTAAGGGGGGGTGGGTGGTGGGGGTGAGGAGGGGGGTGAGGGGAGTAAGGGGGGGGTGAGGAGGGGGGTGCAGGGGAAGTGTAAGGGGGGGTGAGGAGGGGGGTGAGGAGATGTAAGGGGGGTGAGGAGAGTAAGGGGGGTGAGGAGGGGGGAGGGGCGTACGGGGGGGGGGGTGTGAGGGGGTTTTGAGGGGAGTAAGGGGGGGTGAGGAGGGGGGTGAGGGGAGTAAGGGGGGTGAGGAGGGGGGTGAGGGGAGTAGGGGGGGGGTGAGGAGGGGGGTGAGGGGAGTAAGGGGGGTGGAGGAGGGGGGTGAGGGGAGTAAGGGGGGTGAGGAGGGGGTGAGGGGAGTAAGGGGGTGAGGAGGGGGGTGAGGGGAGTAAGGGGGGGGTGAGGAGAGTAAGGGGGGGGGGTAGAGGGGGGGAGGGGAGTAAGGGGGGGGTGAGGAGGGGGGTGAGGAGAGTAAGGGGGTGAGGAGAGTAAGGGGGGTGAGGAGGGGGTGAGGGGAGTAAGGGGGGGGTGAGGAGGGGGGTAGGGAGTAAGGGGGGTGAGGAGGGGGGTGAGGAGAGTAAGGGGGGTGAGGAGATAAGGGGGTAGGAGAGGGGTGAGGTCGTAAGGGGGGGGGTGAGGAGGGGGGTGAGGGGAGTAAGGGGGGGGGTGAGGAGGGGGGGTGAGGGAGTAAGGGGGTGAGGAGGGGTGAGGGAGTAAGGGGGTGAGGGGGGGGTGAGGAGGGG